CCTCCAGCCCGGGAGCCGAGTGTCCCTCCTCACACCCGACCCTTCTCCAGGGTCCCTCCCAGTCCCTGTCTAAGCAGCCTCTCTCTGTTAGCCCGCTGGGAGCACCAACACTGTTTTCTGAACTCACACGTCTCAAAGAAGCTAGCATAGGGGTGTCGAACTCAATCAGAGAAGGGGCCAAAATCTAAAATCCAGCCTAAATCGCAGGCCGAATGGTTTACTGAACAGTCATAAACTGTCATTGTGATGGAAACGCAGCGGAGTGCAGTGATGACAGCGCAGTGCGGGCCACATTGCAAGGCCTGGCGGGACGGATTTGGCCCGCGGGCCTTGTGTTTGACACTAGCACATATTCAGGGAATTCTATCCACATGACAGCTTTCCCACCCCCGCCACCGGAGCCAGATGAGCCTCCGCCCTCCTCAGGAACAGAGCCAGGCAGCATCCTGGTGGGACCCCAACAGCTGCCAGGGGCCAGTGGCACACAGGCACGTGCACACCCACACACCCTGCTCCTCCTGGCACCCCAGTCCAGCCGTTACCCTCCCCTTCAGATCGCCCTCAGCTCAGGGCTTTTAATTCCTTCCTGCTTATCGGGTCCTCTCTGGAGGGCTGCAGAGAACAAGGGGAGTCCCTGACCTGCCCCTGGCTGTCCCTCCCACCTGCTGGAACCTCTCCTGTTCAGGGTGACTCAGCAGCCCCTCAAGAGTCATCCCTTCACGACTTGTATACATGCATATAAGTACAACCAATGGACATAAAACTATGGGGAGGGAGGGGATATGGGGGAGGGAGGGAGGGGGCAAAAAAAATCATTAAAATATGTAAAAATAAATAAATAAATAAATTTAAAAAAAAAAAAAAGAGTCATCCCTTCACTCATCACACAAAGGCAAATCCACATCCAGACCCCCTTCCTGACTTTTCCACACCCAGAGACAGGCTGACAGAGACCACCAGGGTTCCAGGGTTTGCAGCCTGTCTGCAGCCCTCCGCCTCCACTCTACCACCCCATCAGCTGTACTTGTACCATGTGCCAGGAGCCAAGACTCGGGGAAACTCAGACTCGGAAACCTGCAGTGACAGCTGCTGAAAGACGAGCCTCCAGTGGCTTCAGCTGCGGGTGGAGACTGCCCTGACGTGGGGAGGGGCAAGTGCGGGTGGGGGATCTGCCTGGCTCTCAGGGCTGTGATCTTTCTCATCCAGGATAACGATTCTGGAAAAAGTCATCCAGGTTTGACAAATAGGGCCATGGACCATAGGGTTCCCAACTCCTGCTTCCCTGTTGTGCCTTGGAAAACACACGGACCAAGCACATTCCAACCGTTGGTAACCACCCTACTGCAGGGCAGAAACTGCAAGTCTCACTCCCCACTGAGTCTCCGGGACGAGGCTTGACACCCAGGAAATGTGTGCTGGGGACAAAGTAGTGAGGGTGCCAGTCAGGCGTCCAGTGAAATGAACACAGAGCCACCAGCATGGGCTCCAGGCACCTCACGTCCCAGCCTGCAGCCCTGCTGCAGACAGACCAAGGGCTCCAGCTATCTGAGCAACCAGCCAAACCACGAGTAACACAGGAGGTCTACCAAGCAAGGAGCTACCTGCAGAAAGACAATGAACCCCTCCTTCAGAGCCGGTCAGATGCCACTTGCACAAACCTTCCCATGTGAGCAGATGTTAAGAATATCACTAGAGGTCCGGTGCACGAAATTTGTGAAGGGGGAGGAGTCAGAGGGGTCTCTCTGCCCAGCCTGGAACCTCTCCAATCCCAGACCCCTCAGACATCCCTCTCACAGTCCAAGACTGCTGGCTCTTAACTGCTCTCCTGCCTTCCTGCCTGCCTAATTGCTCCTAAACACTCTGCCTGCCTGCCTGATTGCCCCTAACCACCTCTGCCTGCCTGCCTGATTGTGCTTAACCACCTCTGCCTGCTTGCCGTATCACACCTAACTGCTCCCCTGCTGCTCTGATTGCCCCTAACTCCTCCCCTGCCTGCCTGAATGCCCCTAAAAGTCTTTGCCTCAGCTCCAGCACGCAGGATCCAGGCTTCCCTCCTCCGGAGAGCCTAAGGAGCCCAGAACCCTTATTTCCATCCCTCTGGGCAGCCACAGGCACCCAGGATGCTGATGGCTTATCTCAGGCCCCAGCTTTGTCAGGATCCGTCCTGGAGGATGTCTGGTAGGACTAATTACCCTATTACCCTTCTAGGGCCTGAAGGATAAGGCCTGCAGAGCCCGCTCGTCACCCCGACAGTTGCTGGCACCCACCTGAGACAGAACGCCCTGCTCTCCCTCTCTAGAGAACCACGCAGCAGGGTCTTGTGGAGGGTATGCTCCTGCACGAGGGCCTGGTACTGCCCAGACAGGTGCTCATGGAGCGCCCCCAGGCTCCCGTGGTCCTGCAGGAGGGCCTCATGGGCTTCAATCAGCTGCTCCAGCAGATCGTACAGCTCGTACAGCTCCTCCAGCTCCCTGTCCTTGGCCTCCTGCTGGTTCTGGGAGGAAGGCTCCACCTGCGGGAGGGAAAAGGTGATGATGCCTCACCGGGTGCAGGTCCCAGGAATCACAGACTCTGCATCCCCGCACCCCACAAGCAGTGAGGGGCCAAAGCAGAGCACGTTGAAGGCACCAAAATAACAGGGACCCTCAGGGCATCAAATCAGTTCTACTAGCACTTAAGGAAGTGTGCTGAGAGGGCCCAAAGCATAGATGGACTGTAGCATATGGTGCTACACTGAGTCTTGTGCCCCCTTTTATACACGGGACCTTTTTTGGGAAACTTGTGCCCTTTCTCTGCATAAACTCATTGGGTGCCCTCTCTGACTACTTTGAAAAGCCTACTGAAAAAGACAGTCATAGAAAATTAGTAAGGACACAGAATATCTGAACAACATTACCAACCAATTTACCCGGAGATTTACAGAACCACCATCCACCCAACACAGCCAGGAGACCTCCCTTCCCCTTTCCCAAGTCCTGCCAATCAAATCCAAGATGGCCAGTGTTCCTGGGGGGCAACACCTGTCCCTGTCCCCTTGCCACGGCTGAGAAATGCTGGTCTGAGCTGCAGCTGAACGAGGAACCTAGTCACCCAGGAATCACTGATCAGTGACCAGGACACAGCCGTGATCCCGACGCTCCCCCTCACAGGCAGGGGCATCAGGGGAGCATGTGCTCTGGAGGGCCTACCTGTGGGGCCTCCGCCTTCAGGTGACCAAGAGCATCGAGCACCTGCTTTAGATCTTTCAGCAGCTCCTTGTTGATGTCTGCCAAGTTCTGGCCATTATCCTTTTCGACCTGGAGTTGCATCTCCAACTCTGCCACCTGCAGAGCCAAAGACCCAGCCCGTGTGAGAGTCCATTTCATGGAGGGAACTTTAAAGCACAGCCCAAACGTGTCACCCCACAGAACACTTTCCCAGGCCTTTTCTCAAGGAAAAACCTTCCTACCCACTTGGGGGGGTACAACAGCCACTCCAAAGAGTGGCAGAGCAGGAAGAGGGAAGCCTAGCCCCTGGGAGGCGTCACTGAGCCACTGCCCCAGCGCTGGGCTGCCTTCCATGGCACTTGTGGTAGCTCCAGGCAGATCCGTCCTGGAGGTGTGCCAGGTTCTCTGGGCGACCCTGGACATATGGAGCGGGATCATTCTTTGTGCCAGGGCTGCTGGACATTCAGCAGCATCCCTGGCCTCACTGCAGCACAGCCAGGAGCACCTCCCCTCTCTTCCCCCAAGTCCTGTCAATCAAAAACGAGATGGCCAGTGTCCCTGGGAGGTGATACCTGTCCCCAACCCCCTGCTGCAGCTGAGGATTGCCGCTCTGAGCTGCAGGTGAGTGAGGAACTGGTCACCCCGGAATCACTGACCAATGACCAGGACAGGGCTGTGATCCCGGACGCTCCCCCTAGCAGGCAGGGGCGCCAGGGGAGGCCTACCTGCAGGGCTCTGTCCGCCTTCAGGGTGCCAACTTCCTTGAGCACCTGCTCTACTTCGTTCACGAGCTCCTCAGTGAGTGTCTCCCACTCCTGGCTCTTGTCCTTCTCCAGCTGCACTTGCAACTGCAACTCATCCACCTGCAGGGCCAAGACCAGCCGTGAAGCGGCCCCTCCGTGGTCCTGCACACACGGGCGTGGCTTCCACGACTGCTTCCCTCCCAGGCCCGCCCTGTGCTGTCTAACAGGGCGCTCGCTGGTCTCCTTTCTGTGAGCACTTACTATGTGCTCGGACCCTTTACCCACACTAACGCATACGGTCCTCACACCACCTACAGGGGCACACCATGAACCCATGTCACAGATGAAGATGAAGGCCATGGGGCACACAGACACCCACAGTGTCCGCTCCCTCTGCTGCAGGGCCAGTCATGCTGCCTCGGGACTCTGCTCCATGAGGACTCGTGTCCCGCTGCTGTGGCTGCCCTGCATTCCGCGCTTCTCCCAGCTGCGCATCCTCTCCGACACTGGGTGCTCCCCTGGCCACCTGCTTGCCCGTATGTTCCAGACACCACCCACGGGCACCTGCTTCCGGAGAAGCTGGTTCTCCTCCTGGAGCTCCTGGATCTTGACGCTCCTCTCCCTGCAGGAGCCACCCCGCACCTCCTGGGCCGTGCCCTCCAGGGTCTGTTCTTCTATTTTCAACTGTATGGCACTGTCGGAGGCTAAAGAGCAAAGTCCAGTCAGAGCCCAGATTCCGGGGCCTGGCTTCCACTCTCTGCCTCCGGCCCCGAGACAACCATCACCCCGAGCTGTCCACATGGGAGCTGAGAAATCTGGCAACACTTACTTTGTAGTTCATGTCCTGACTTCAAGGCTGCCAGACCCTTCATGTTCCCCTTGGGGAGAATTGCAATGAAACAGTTCCAATGGCCCTTGAGTAAAACCCTATTCACTTGGGGTGAGGATGGGCTCACACATGCGGTTCAGAGCCAAGCGCTCAGCACCCTGGAGGAGGGAGAAACCGCAACCAGCCTGGCTCCCAGGCAGCAGGGGCTGCTGCCCACCTTCAGAGAGCTGCTCCAGCTCCCAGCTCCGGTGGGCGCGTTGGTTCATCCTGGGCAGCTGTTGAGCCTCAAGGGCCATGCTGTCCCCCAGCAGCGCCTCAAGGAACTGCTGGGGAACGTGTCCACGATCCTAGTGCAGAAAGAGGGAGTGGTGAGGATACCCCCATGCCACCCTCTGGACAGGCCCCACCCCTGTGCACCCACCCTCGTTCCCCAGGATGAAGGGCTCCATGCACCTGCTCACTTCCCAAAACACAGCTGCACAGAAGTGACTGCAACACAGGGCCCAGCTGGGAGACCTACAGCCACTAAAAAACACGCTGACCCGGTGGCCTAGGTGATGAAGACACCCAACGTCTCTGAGTGGTGTCTGAACAAAGTGGCGCACAGCACAGGGCTTTAAAGCAGGTAATATGATGACGGGCAGCTCTGCGGTCCCTTAGCAGGTTTAACATGCCTTGGAATGGCTGTAGGAACTCCCAAAGCACAGCTCAACCCACATCCTAAAAACCGGTAGAGACCCTTTTTGCAACAGTCACTCACAAACACCCGTCGTTACAGAAAAGCAACACAGCAGTCAGGCCCTATCTGTTGTTTTGTTTGTTCCTTTAAGTATAAATATACACTAGAGGCCCAGTGCATGAATTTGTACACCAGTGGGGTCATTCAGACTGAAAATGGCTCTCAGGGTTTGCTTACATTCCCTGGATTCACCTGGGCACCATCTCTCTGCCCATCCTTGGCCCTGCACTGGGTGCCCTCTGTCCTTGCACATTCACTCTTCACAGCAGCTCCGAGGGGGAGGCAGGGACAGACCCTTCTTACATATGAAGAGGCTCTGCACTCACCAACTCCGCGCTCACCGACTCTAAGTTCACCGACTCTAAATCCACCGACTCTTCACTCACTGACTCCACACCCAACCGACTCCTCTCCCTCTGACTCTGTACCACACATTCTGCTGTTTCCATGTCCCCCATTCCCAACGGCCCTCTGCCCTGCATTCTAAACGGCTCTGCCAGCAGCTCACACTCATGCTAACTGCTTTGGAATAGACAAAATTAGGACACTCTCCTATGAAACTTAACATCTTGGCCAGCTTCTCGTTCTCATGCTCCATGCATGCCCATTGTACATAATTTCTCCCTGGTACACCTGCATTTTAAATACTTCTCTTTCCCTTTAATGTTATTATACATATGTTTTTATTTCCACACTTGCCAGGAGGTTGAGTATGGGCTCAGGGGTGGCGTAACAGTGTGGATATACTTAATACTATACTCCTGAAAATGGCTGAGATGAGTCAGTTTTGTGTGGTTTGTTGTTTTTTAACACAATGAAAAAATTTTTAAAAATTTTAAAAGAGTATAGACTCTGGATGCAGCAACCTGAGTTCACATCTTAGGCCCACCACTTACTAGCTGTGTGACCTTAGGCAGGTGACTTAACTCCTCTGTTCTGTTCTGTAGAGACCCTTTTTATAATACTCACTCACAAACACCTATCCTTACAGAAAAGCAACACAGCAGTAAGGCCCTGTCTGTTGTTTTGTTTGTGTGTTTGTTTGTTCCTTTAAGTATAAATACACAGAGGCCCAGGGCATGAATTTGTGCACCAGTGGGGTCCGTTGGCCTGGCCTGCAGAATCGGGCTGAAATTGGCTCTCAGACATCCCCCTATGGGTCCTGGATTGTGAGAGGGCACAGGCCATGCTCACTGACCCCACAAGTGCATGACGAGGGGTTTGAGGGGGAGAGAGGAGATGCCAGAGGTTGACCACCTGGGCAGGGAGCATGGGTGGGCACCAGGGCGTTTCTGGCCTGTCTCGCTCAGTCTCAATTGGCTAGACCCCAGCAGCAAGCTCACCTACCTGTTGGAGCATCTTCCCCCTGCTGTCAGTGCACATCATAGTAACTGGTTGACCAGAGTAGTGTCTCCCCCATGGTGGTCAATGCACGTCATAGCAAGCAGTTGAGTGGCCTTAGCATATTATTAGTACATTACACTTTGATTGGTTGAAAGGCCGCTAGACAACTGGACACTTAGCATAATAGGCTTTTATTATATAGGATTATATAGGATTTAAATATATTTTTACTAGAGGCCTAGTGCACGAATTCATGCACCAGTGTGGTTCAGAGGACGGGCCTGCAGGAATCGGGCTGAAATAGCCTCTCTAGCATCCCCTGAGGGGTCTGAGATTGGGAGAGCGTGGTTCCCAGGTGACACACCCCAGAACTGGTCTCCCTCCTCTCTGGTTCTGGGTGCGTCAGCCGAGAACCCCACTACTAAGTGACAGCAGCTCGGCAGCTCCTGTGTTGAGCATCTGCCCTCTGGGGGTCAGTGTGTGTCATAGCTAATGACCAGGCATCTGGTCCCCTTGGTTTTTATATCTATAGATGGATCTCAGAGAGGAAGGAAGAGGGAGAGAAACAGCAATGATGAGAGAATGATTGATTTGCTTCCTCCCACAGGCCACTCCTGGGCATGGAGCCTGCAAATGGGGCACTGGCCCCTGCCAGGAAGGCCCTGTCGGTTGCCCACTCAAGCTGCTGAGCTAAGCAAGCAACTCTTCAGCATCACAGGTCACTGCGTGGACAGCAACCCAAACCCAGTAAGAGAAGGGCACAACATAACCCTGAAAGTGCCCCAATCCGTTGTACACGTGGCGCGAGAGTGTCTGACATGCACAGCCCTGTCTATTGGACGAGTGCACTAGGCATGGGACTTTGCTGAGCCGTTTCCTTTGCAAGGAATGGGTTGGACTAAGGGTTGATCCCGGGGTTTCAGGGCTGAGTCTAGGCCTCTCGATTCCATAGTCACTCCACTGGTTGGGTGCTGGAAATAAATGGCTATTCGGGTGAGCTTTTGTTCAACACACAGTTCCTATCTGAACGGTTCACACATGTCCTCTTGGAAAGCCAACAGCTCTTGGCTGCTCTCAGCAGTTTCCTGGACATGAGGGCTAAGACACAACAAACAATACTGTGGGCCTCTGGGTGTTGGGCACATGCTGGGTGTGGGATGACATGGCTGGTCCCTCACAGGACCCCTCAAGGGAGGACTCTGCTGGACTTACTCCTGTCCCAGTGCCCAGCACACATGGGGAGCTGCTCAGCTCTTTCTCCTCATCCCTGCTCCCACCCCAGGAGCCCTTCCAGAACCACTCGGTGTCTTAGGGGCCGAGTCTCCCCTGAATGCCTTCACAGCCTGGGAACACGCATACATGGGATGTGACCATTGCTCTCAGTGGGCAGTTCTCCAAGGCTGGTCCCACTCATGGGTTCTAATGACTGAGAGTGGGCAGTAGCTGCTGCTTTTCCATCTCATGTCCATTTTCCCCACAGGGGCCAGAACCCAAGCTTCTGGGTAGAAGAGAAGCCGGGGACCTGCCATTAGTGGACACAGTTCTGATCAAAGCCTGGCAGCAGGAACGGTTTGCTCACAAACCCTGGATTCACCTGGGCACCATCTCTCTGCCCATCCCTGGCCCTGCACTGGGTGCCCTCTGTCCTTGCACATTCACTCTTCACAACAGCCCCGAGGGGGAGGCAGGGACAGTTCCTTCTTACATATGCAGAGGCTCTGCACTTACCAACTCCGCGCTCACCGACTCTAAGTTCACCAACTCTAAGTTCACCGACTCTACATCCACCGACTCTTCACAAACCGACTCTGAACCCACCGAATCTGCACACAACCAACTCCTCTCCCACCGACTCCACACACAACTGACTCCTCTCCCACCGACTCTGCACCACACATTCTGCTGTTTCCATGCCCCCCATTCCTAACAGCCCACTGCCCTGCATTCTAAACGGCTCTGCCAGCGGCTCACGCTCATGCTAACTGCTTTGGAATAGACAAAATTAGGACACTCTCCCTATGAAACTTAACATCTAGGTCTAGGATATATAAAATATAAAGAAACATAAAGGTTATAAATATATATCCTACATCAATGAAAATAAAAATTAACTGCTTAATTCTAATTTTGTCTATCCACATTTCTAAAAATTATTGTTCTCCCATCAGCCAAATTACAGAAGTTAGATCCATTGCTTTGAGATAACAACACATTCATTTTATTTTGTGGAATCTTACCTAGAGAGCTCAGCTCCCAAATTCTCATCATCAACTGTGAAAAGTTCACACATTAGAACACCTGAACTCCACCAGTCAACTGCCTAAAAAACAATTTGACAGAACATTCATTAATGTGTAGTTTATTAGCAAAATGAACAAAGTAAAGCTGTATATTCGGAAAATATTTTATTTACTTCCTTTTAGAATCATTGATCGGCTGCCTCCTGCGTGCCCCATAATGGAGACTGAGCCATGGGCATGTGCCCTGACCAGGTATCCAACAGTGATTTTCTGCTTCAGAGTTTGATGCTCTATCACTGAGCCACACCTGCTGAACTGGAAAATATTTTATCAAAAATATATTGTACATATAGTTCTCTGTGCAAGGAGTATTAAATTAGCACATGCAAGAAATATATTTAGAGGACACATATGCAGGTATCCTCAGAACAGAATTTAAACATTTAGGCTGTCAACCGATGTGCTAAGAGTGTTTTAATTATTTCAAAACTAGTAATAGTTTTACTTGTGTAATTAAAAAATTCATTCTTAAAATAAATTTTATACATTTTAATTACATGCAATATTTGGACTTATGGGGGGGGGGGGAGTAATGACTGGCATTATTAATTATCCAGTTCCAATAACTGTTAGGAAATTACTTAAAGTGAAACCGGACAACCAATAGGCCCAGGCTGCTGGTTTCTACTGGAACGAATGTAGCAGACACTGGGTTGGCTCATATATGGCGCTTATTCCATCAATGTGGGCAGAATGGGAGAGCAGCAGGTCATCCACAAACATCTGCTCTACTCTCCCCATAAGCCAGCTGCTGATGTTGGGTAGAATGACACAGATTCCATGGGAAAGTTTGAATTACACACATGGGAAAGTAGGCAATGTACAGTGGTTACAGGTTACATGCAATGTGGGCTGGAGTTGGCAGAGGCGGGTGCCTCAGGGACCAGCTTAGAGGCAACAAAGGTTAATCTAGGCCATTCTCAGGAGCTGCATTCCCATGTTGGCTCCCCTGCCCCAAGGCCTATAACTCTCAAACAGAATAGAACGTGCTTTCTCTAATCAAACAGAACAATCATAGTTAACAGAGCATGATTAATAGTTATTATTATAGCTAGTCCCCAATATTCTATTCCTATCCCTAACAAAAGAAAAAAAATGAAAAGAAAAATCCCGCCTAAAGGTGTTATTATTGCCCTAATCAGTTTGGCTCAGTGGATAGAGCTTCGGACTGTGTACTGGAAGATGCCAGGTTCGATTCTTGTCAAGTACATGTACCTTGGTTGCGGGCACATCCCCAGTGGGAGGTGTGCAAGAGGCAGCTGATTGATGTTTCCCTCTCATCAATGTTTCTAATTCTCTACCCCTCCCCGTTCCTCTCTGTAAAAATCAATAAAATATATTTTTTAATAAAAAATTAACGATGTTATTATTTCATAACTACCTCAACCAATTGCTCCTCTAGAACCTGTCTCATAAATGTAATAGTCTTAATTTATGGGAAGCATAATGAGACTTAAAATGATGTCAAACAGCCGAAACCAGTTTGGCTCAGTGGTAGAGCGTCAGTCTGCGGACTGAAAGGTCCCAGGTTGGATTCCGGTCAAGGGCATGTACATTGGTTGCGGGCACATCCCTGGTAGGGGTGTGCAAGAGGCAGCTGGTCGATGTTTCTCTCTCATCGACGTTTCTAGCTCTCTAGCTCTCTCCCTTCCTCTCTGTAAAAAATCAATAAAATATTTTTTTAAATGATGTCAAACAAAATGTGATCTAAAATTATTAAAAACTAGAGGTCTGTTGCACGAATATTCATGCAATAAGCCTTCCTTCCCCTGGCTGCTGGCACCTTTTTTTTCCTCAGGCACCCGGGACCCAGGCCTACACTCTGGCTTCGGCCTTTGGTCTTTGCTCTGGCTGGAGAATTCGCTGCAGCCAGAGCCTTCAGTCTTTGCTCCAGCCAGAGCACCACTCCTGTAGCTTCCTCTGCCCCCTACACTCCCCTTCATAGCAGGCGCCCCGCCCTGCCCAGCCACTCTACACCTGCATGTGTGCTACCCAGAGGTCTAGAGCAGCTGGGGGTGGTGCAGCTGCCACATATTTTGGTTAATTTGCATACTCACTCCTGATTGGCTGGTGGGTGTCATGAAGCAATGGACAATTTGCATATTGCCTTTTTATTGGTGTAGATCACTTCTTTTATCATCAATATACAAGTGAAGATTTCAATAATGGTTAAATTTAGAGCTTATGCCAATGAAATGTTAAGTGGATGGTAAAATTTTAAACTCTCTGGTCCCAAATTTTTGGGCCAACGTTTCAGAGCAATGATGCAAAAATCTATGAACCTAAAGCTATTTTAGGGAAAATACATAACAATAATACAGAAAATAGGATGAAGCCAACTGAAACCACCAACGAGTGAGTGCCAGCCTGGCACAGCAATGAGCATGTTGTATACATTATGTCTCATTTAACCCACTCAAAGTCATCGTGTTGTTCCATGAATTCCCATTGACTTAGCTGTATTTTGGACCTTGGATATGCAGAAATATCAGGAGGAATATAAGGTTTTCTTTTCTAAAAATTGGGTCCATATACCAGGCTGTGATGGCTCAGTTGGGTGGGTCATCACTGTGTACATGGAAGGCTGGGGGTTCAATTCCCAGTCAGGGCTCATACCTAGGTTGGGCATTCAGCCCCCAGGGGGGTGCATATGAGAGGCAACCAACTGATGCTTTTCTCTAACATCAACGATTCTCTCTCTCCCTCAAATCAGGAAGCATATGCCTGGGATAGGATTTAAAGAAATATTGGGTTCCATTAGGTCTTAGAAAGTAACTTTCAAATTTTAACTTCTAAATTCTTACCACATTTCCCAATAGTTTCGAATAATGCCTTGAAAAGAACTAAACCAGAAATACAATTTTTTATTTATTTATACAAGCATTTTTACTGGCACCTGAACTTAGTTGGCCTGGCTCAGGGGTTGAGTGTCAACCTATGAGCCAGGTGATCATGGTTTGATTCCAGGTCAAGTCGCATTCTCCAGTTATGGGCTTAATCCCCAATGTGGAGTATGTAGGAGGCAGCCAATCAATGATTCTCCTATTGATGTTTCTCTCTCTCTCCCCCCTCTCCCTTCCTCTCTGAAATTAATAAAAATTATATAAAATAATAATTCTCTCAAAAAAGTAAAAATAAAAAAGGAAGTTACAGAGTACTTCCCCTGACGAGACAGAGCAGTGCTTCTCCGCTGTCGCCCCACGTAAAAAAACCAAGGGAGGTTAAACAGACAAGGCCCCACTGGTCCTGGAGGGGCCCTCTTCCAAAGTGATCAAAAGGTTCTGTGGTGACCCTGCTTCACAGCGAGTCCAGCACCACAGGCTAAGTGTGGGGGATGCTTATCACAGGGACTCCCCTGCACACGGGCCACGCACAGGGTCTCACTCAGAAACGCAGGTGCCATTCGACCCCTCAGAACTCCTGCTGACCAGGCCGGCCACCTGACCCACAGCTCCAACTACCTCCCAGACGTCCACGGTGGGATCACGTCCACAGGAAACTCAAAGCACTTAGGAGTAAAGGTGACTCACCAAAGCTCTTTGCAATTTCCTCAGTGTCTCCACAGGCTCAGGGACAAAGCCCAGAATCCTCTGCATGTTATTGTTCTTCAGTACCAACATCATTTCCAGCATAAAGGGAATCCTAAAATATAGACAAAAGAAAGAGAAAGCCATCATTTCAAATTGTCTATATAACTGACCTTCAACTTGGGAAGAAATCAACCAATTCTGCACATGGCCATCACCGCTGATACACCAGATGGTCTCAGGCTGACCATCCCACTCCAGCCTCCGCAGTAATTTAACAAATATTGGGCCTCCACGTCGGCCTTGACCACTACCCACAGTTCTCTAGTTCCCTCTCCCCCTCCTCCACCCCAACTCCTCCCACTGATCCCCCCATGTGCGCTCCCTGTGCTCTGAGTCACCCCTCCTCTCCACAATAGTTGTCATTCCTTCCTCCAATCCTGGCCTTTTCATTTCTTAAACTTTTAATCTGGAATAAAAGTTGCAAGACCAGTAGAGACTTCCCACATACTCCTTTCTGAGATTTCTCCAAATGTTGACTTTTTACTGATATAATTCACAAACGATCAAACACCCATTCAAAGTGAACACTGAGTATATTTAAGGTTGTGCATCATCTCCACAATTTTAGAACATTTTCACAGCTCACCAAAAAGAAGCTCCAAAGACATATTAAAGGCCATGCCCTGATTCCCCAAATCCTACCCTAGGCAACCTGGTGAGTACTTCCCGAATCTGCTGACTTCTATTATTTTAATTAATTTATTTTTAAAAAACATATTTTTATTGCCCTAGCTGATTTGGCTCAGTGGATAGAGTGTCGACCTATGAATCGAAAGATCCTGGGTTCAATTCCAGTCCAGGGCCGGGAATCAAACCAGGACCTCCTGGTTCATAGGCCCATGCTTAACCACTGAGCCCCGTTGACCAGGCCAAAATCTCTATTAGATCTAGTAATAATTAATGTCGTTTTCTAATACTTTTTTTAAATCGAATTTATTTAAACAATACAACAAAATTTAATCAACAATATAGTTGCCATTGTTTTCTACTACTTGTGCCCAACGCTCAGGAAGCATTTTAATCCCTCTGTTGTAAAATTCTTGTGATTTTGATGCAAAAAATTCGGTCAATGCATTTTTGAGGCATTCTTCATTATTAAATTTTTTTCCAAGAAGAAAGTTTTGCAAAGAACGAAACAAATGGTAATCAGAAGGGGCAATATCAGGAGAATATGCAGGTTGAGGGAGAACTTCCCATTCCAACTGGCGCAGTTTTTCAGCAGTGATTCTTGCAGTATGCGGTCGTGCATTATCGTGGTGAAGAATTACGCCCTTCCAATTAATCAGCGCGGGTTCTTTTTCTCTTAAAGCTTAGGCTAACCTTTCCAATTGGGCACTATACACTGCACTTGTAATGGTTTGGTTAGATGGTAAAAGTTCATAATGAAGAATTCCTTTAAAATTCCACCAAACACACATCACTTTTTTCGCATGCAAGTCAGGTTTTGGCGTGGGCTGCGGAGCCTCATTTTTGTCCAACCATTGAGGCCGCCTTTTCAAATTAACATACAGCACCCATTTTTCATCTCCGATAACAATTTGCTCTAAAAACGGCAAACTGTTTTGACGAGAGAGGAGCGAACTGCAAATTGTGACTCTTTGATTACGATTGTTGTCTGTCAACTCATGAGGAACCCATTTTCCAAACTTTTGGTCTTTGCCAAGTGCACGCAATTGATTGGAAATTGTTTTTTGTGAACAATTTAAAGTTGTCGCAAGCTCTTGTTGGGTAATTTGAGGATTTTGCACCAAAAGAGCTTGAAGAGCTTCTTGATCAAAATTGGACACACGGCCTCGACCACTCTTGTCATCTAATGAAAAATTTCCCTCGCGAAATTTCTCAGACCAACGCTGGCATTTTCTGGCGCTAACTGCATCTTGACCAAGAGCACTACAGATGTTTTTTGCAGCCTCACTTGCTTTTCTTCCTAATTGGAACTCGTAAAGCATGCAGTGCCGAATATGCTCTTCATCCGCCATCTTCTTAGCCCTAGTTTTGCAACAAAAACCAAACCAAACACAAACTTTTTCAAGCAAAACTTGTTAATTGCACTTCACACGTTCTGTAGATACCACGTGTTTGAAGGTTATGTCAATACAAGTCAACGCCAAGCAAGATTTTAAATGAATGTTAAAAACGACATTAATTATTACTAGACCCAATATTTTAAACCTGAGCTCTGGGCATCCAATAGAGGGGGAAGCTTCTTCTCTGGGACACTTTGGCCTGTCTCCAGGTGACCTTCCTCCTGCCTTTCCTCTCAAATGTCTGAGTGTAAGTGATTCTAACCCCGAGGCTTTCCACCTCAGGGCCTCAGGGCCTCCTCAGAGGGCTCAGACCACAGCTCCTCCCAGTGACTATTACGGGATTTCAGAAAAGAGCCCATCTTCCCTTTTGGACCTGGGTCTCCTGCATGTTCTCCTGCCCACTGAAGGCCCAAGCTGAGAACACGGGCTGACCCTGGCCTTCCCTCCCATCTATGCCCTATCAGTTCAGTCCTCACACCCACATCCACACCCACACCCACACCCACACCCACTCCAACTTAGCTAATCCTCCCACCGCCCTGGAGCCCTCCCATGGTCCCTTTCCGGCCCCGAGCATGCACCAATAGGGTCCGACGGCCTGGCCTTTGCCCCCTCCAAATCTGGCATCCTTGGGGGATGTCAGAGAGCCAAATCTATGCACTGGGCCTCTAATTTTTAAGATTAAAACATCAAATCACAGAAGCAAAAAGTAACAGATTACTAGGAAATGAAACACAGCATCTACCCCACTTATTTCCGTGTGCTGGTCAGCTTCTGAGAACTGAGGCACTTAGGAGGCAGGAGTGACCCATGGTACCTGGTCTTGTCCTGGAACTTGCCGCCTGCCCGGCGGGCTTTGGCCTGGGTCTCTGTGATCACTTCCAGGGACAGAACATCATCTTTTCTCAACGAAAAGCCCACACTTCTCAGCATTAATAGGAGCAGGTCCCTACCTTTCTCTGTGTGAGTTCCAGTAGGTTTCTCCAAATAGGGAGATACTGTTCCACATAGAAATCATACAAATGGGCAATGATGGTGAACAGGCTGCCACCCTCTCTGCCCTCGCTTCCCTTTTTATAGACGTCATCAAACTTCCTCACTGGGGCCTCCAGAAAGGGAGCTCTGACCTGCACGAATTAAACAGACCAAACATCATTGCAAACACCTGACAATGTGACAGCAAGTTCCTCTCAGGGATCCTTCTTTTCTTTTTTTCTTTTTTTCTTTTTTTAATATATTTTATTGATTTTGTACAGAGAGGAAGGGAGAGAGAGAGAGAGTTAGAAACATCGATGAGAGAGAGTCATCGATCAGTTGCCTCTTGCACACCCCCTACTGGGGATATGCCTGCAACCAAGGTACATGCCCTTGACCGGAATCGAACCCAGGACCTTTCAGTCCCTAAGCCGACGCTCTATCCATTGAGCCAAACCGGTTTCGGCAGGGATCCTTCTTTTCAACAAGCTGAAGTGTTTATGCTGAAAGAGTCAGTACTTTTAAAATCAACGCATCCATGTACATGGGAGGATACACACGCCCACAGGGTAACCGCTTTAAAAACCAGTCTGAGTGTACAGTATGGATACACGGCCACACGGACTGGTGGGTGCCGCACAGAGCAATCCGCCACAGCACTGGAGCCTCCCTGTAAGCACAGCCTCCCGTCTTCTAGGTCCAGGTGGACTGCCTCGGCCAGCAGCCACCTGGCTCACTGGAGAAGGACCACCGCCCAGCTCTGTCTGCAAGGCTGCCATCTAACAGCACTCATTCTGAAGGCGCGCTGAGCCTGGAGGAGGCATGGGTCTCTGTGATCACTTCCAGGGACCAGTTGGGAAGTGAGACCTGCACAAATGCAGACCTGGGGGACCTGGGAAGGAAGACCCCGAGACAGAACTAGCAGCTGTGGCCAGCCACTCGGCCACTGGACATAAAAGGTTCAACTCCGAGAATCAGGAGCTGGAAGAGGAAACCTGGAGGGGAAGAGCAGGCTATGGGGGGCTGCTTCAATTGTGGCTGCAGGTGAGCTCAACCCGACAGGTGAGAGTGTGATACACACGTGCCATTGCTGAAGGGCAAACACTAAAAGCTAGAAGACTCCAGAGAAAGGCACAGATGGGCAGGAGGGAGTGACTTCACAGAGGCCAGCGCCCGCAGACAGGGGACACTCTGTGGGTAACAAATAATAATGGAACCTGTAAACTCCCCACTGAGCCCCTTCACAAAAACCAACCTGCAGAGCATACTCTGACCACACATTATGCTCAAATGTAACTTATAAAAGGGAAATTAGCCCAGCCGGCACCACTCAGTGGTTGAGTCGACCGATGAACCAGGGGCTCGAGGTATGAATTCTGGTCAGGGCCCAGGCCCAGGTTGCAGGCTCAGTCTCCAATGTGGGGCCTGCAGGAGGCAGCCCATCAGATTCTCTCCCATCATTGATGTTTTTCTCTCTCTCCCTTTCCCTTCCTCTCTGAAATCAAGAGAAAGATAATTTAAAAAAGAGAAATTAGAATTCTGCTGAAAAATAATATATGAATACTCAGGTTGAATGTTTTCAACACCCAATTGGAATTACTTAACTACATCAGATATCTGAAATTCTGAATGTATTTGATGTCTACAATATAAACTAGAACTTAGGAGAGCATTTAAAAGGAGCAATGCCATTCATGTTGCTGCAGTTGCTAAGCACGTACATTAGTTCCAATGGGGCTTTCACACAGCTCTGCAGAGACCTCATGTTTGATCAGTGACTCAGGAGCAGCTCGGGGACGGACCCATGGGCTCAGGACACACTCTGGGTCCCATGAGGACGCTCCTGTCACCACAGAACTGGAGCTTCCTGGCCGCCCCCGGAGAGCTCGTGGCTCTGCACAGGGTCCAGGGCCGCCGTGGGCCGAGGCGCCATGAGGAGGCCCCGCACCGAGTCCTTCCCGGTGGCCTTCCGGCCAGGAGGGCAGCTGCCGTGGGGAGTGGCCAGGCCTCCTGTGCTCACGGCCATGGACCCTGAGCTGCAGCATGTGGTCAGGCAGATGGCTCCGTTCTGTCTGAGCCCAAAGCCTCTGGTGGAGGGTCCGGTCCCTCCAGGAGGACTTGGGCCGGGAAGCCCTGGAGCAGCGCCCTGAGGGGGCCACAGGCAGAGGAGGCGCCGCGCCATCGCCCTCTGCGGGGAGCGGCCCGGCCTGGGAGGAGGCGTCTCCTCAGGAACAACCCGCCTCAGAAGGCGCCCTGGGCGGCTGGTCCCGCAGAGCGGGGCGTCCACCCGGAGGACCGGCCTGAGCGGGGTCCTCAGCCCGCGCCCCGGGGCCCCGCTCCCCATCTTGTGCAGAAGCTGCCTGACTCCCCAGTGAGCACGGCTCCCCGCGGGCTGCCCGCCAGGGTCGCCCGCCGCCCCAGGCCCACGGCCCCCTCAAGGTTTCCCGGGTCCCGTGCTGCCAGCAGCCACCCTGGCCAGGCCCTCCTAGGCCCTGGACCTGCCATCTTCCCCAGGCCCCTGGCTGACTTCCTGCGGGGGCGGGACTTCCGGGCGCAGAGCGGGCTCTGGGAGAGGAGGGGAGGGGAGGGGCCCCCTGCTGGCTGGCGGCGGCAGTGCAGGGAGCCGCGCAGCCGCAGTGTGTCTCCTCTCCAGCCAAGCTGCACCAGGAGCAGATGGTGAGAGCAGAGATGAGTTCTCCCTTCTTCCTGGGAAGCCCTGCCCGTCCTGGCACAGAGGCCTCTTCTCGCCCTGCCACGGAAGGGGCCGTGCTTGTCGCAGGGCATGAATCTTGTCATACATGGGAGCACTGACGGGGAGAGAACATGCCCATAGGGAAAGGTGTCCTTGTGCCTGGGCGTGTATTTACCAGTATTTACAGGAAATTCCTGCTCTGCTGTTCTGAGACTGGTGTTTCCACTCCCCCTTGGGCTGCGTGCTTCCTCTTGTGAGGTGCGTTCTACAGTGTCCCCATATCCATTAGGTGGGACATAGGGACCGTGGCCTTCTTTGGGAACAGGGCCTTTGCAGGTGTAATCACGTTCAGAGGAGGCCTTGGGTCTTGGATGGGTGGGCCCTCACTGCAGTGGCAGGTGTCCTTGTAAGAGGGAAGTTAGACTCACTCACAGAGAGGAGGTCATGTGACGTGGATGCAGAGATGGGTGCGGAGGATGGGTCTCCAAGTCAAAGAATCAAGGACAGCTGGCAGCACCAGAAGCTGGGAGAGACTTTTCCTTGCAGCCCCAGAAGAACCAGCCTTGCCCTGATCTCCAGGGGGAGCGTCTCCCAGGCAGAGTGGGGAGCTCTGGCCCCTGCCCAGCTGCCTGGTCACTGTGTCCTTCACTCCTGGAGAGAAGCCACAGGAGAGGAAGGGACTCCCAGCTGCAGCCTCCAGGCTGGGGTTGAGGAGTAGCAGGCGGGGTGCCTGGTCACCTCCCATCCTGGGCCCTGACAGGTGGACCAGGGCTGGTATCTGCCAGAGGGCTGAGGACCCGTGTGCAGGGCTATGCCAGGGAGACTCAAGAGCAGGCCTGACAAAGTTCGTCTTCCGTTTGTCCCACCTCCTCCAGTGCGGCATGCAGATACTCAGCACCCTCACTGCCCCCACCCAAGTCTCTACAGCGTCTCCCTTCTATCCTCCACCCTGGAGCCCATGCCTGCCTCTCACCCAGTGATTTCCCTGGTGCCCGTTGGGAAGAGGGAGTCAGAATCCCTTTCTGTCAGCACATGTAACAAATGAAGTAAATCCATTTATTCCCACGGGGTGCTGGGAAGGGCTCTGGCCCACAGTAGCTGCTCAGTGAATGGATGTCAGCGCCCTCCCCAGTTGGTGGACAGGAACGTGTTCTTCTCTGGACCTGGTGAAAGGGCTGGTTGCAAACATACAATATGAATGACACAAGGGATGACAGGTGTGCAACAGGGCAAGTGGTAGGGCCAGGGTGCTGGTGTGCAGGCGTGTGTGTGTGTGTGTGTGTGTGTGCATGCAAGAAATGGGTGGAGATGTGGGCATGGCCAGATGTGAACAGCCTGCCAACTCATGCTAGGTTTTGTGTTTATCTGGAGCACTGGGAACTGGTGAAGTGTTTTAAGTGGACAAGTGGGTAAGATAAAAAAAAAAAAAATCAATACTATAGTTACCTATGTAATGTAGAAAGGGGAAGTCCTCTGTAAGCTCTTCCTTCCAGAAACCCAAAGGCCTTGGAGTAGGTAATGCAGACATTCACCTCTCTCCGTTACTTTTTACCAAAATTGGGTGCTCTGCGTGCAGTTTCCCTTTTGCTCTGGGTGGTAGGGCTTAGGCCTTTGTCAGACCTGGTGATCTGGTCCTAGGGCAGCTAGAGCAGAAATACTAGTAGCTTAGGGACCATGTATAAATCTATTTTTTAATTAACAGGTCATTCCCCGCTTCTGTGCCAGCTCACACTCACATTGAGAGTGCCTGCTCCTCATCCCCCTCCTTCACTGACTCCTTTCTGGGTTTTCATTTTTGCCCAGCTGGTAGGTGACAGGTCAGCATGGAGATGCCCTGTGAGAGGGGATGGGGGTGGGGGCCCTAGGCTGCAAGGTCACCCAAACCCCCTTCTCCAGCTCCCTTCACCAGCCGGCCATGGGGCCACAACCCAGCCGTCTTCCCTGGCCTCCACCCCATTGGCCCGGGTGGAGACGCTTCGGGCAGACCCCGGGTGCTGCCCTCTTTTCCGTCCCGCTGACCGCAGGCCCCTGCAGCCCCTGCCGTGGGGCCTTCCCAATGCACGCGCGGCCAAGGGGCTCGCTCTAACCCAGGTCTCTGCCCGCCACTCCCCTGCAGAAGAGGCTTCGCGGCTGCCTGCACCCTGCAGACCCAGTTCGCAGCCTTGTCTGGGACGCAAGACCCCATCGCCTTCATCTCGGCTGTCCCCTCCGCAGGAGCCTGGGTTGGCGGGAGGGATGGGTCTCACGCTCCCTGACTTGTCACTCGCCCGCCCGCCCTCTGGCTGGAACACTCCGCCCTGTTCCGCTGGACCAGCCCCCGCGTGGCTCAGACAGCTCCCCTGCGGCCCCCCGGCCCCCGCCCCAAGTGTCTGATCACCCCCGCCTCCCACCCCGACTTCGTGTCTGCAGAGCCGGCCGGGCCCCGAGTCCGTCGCTCCGGAGCCCCGCAGCCGTTTCGCGCACGCGCGGCAGGCCTCCCGGGGCGTCCCGGGCTGGGCGGTTGCCAGGGTGACGGGGACACAACATGGCGGCCGGGTCCTAACCCTCCGACCGGGACCACCGCGGAGGTCCTAGTTCGAGACCCCGCCTCGGAGCCTTTCCTCTCCGCCCGGGGCCGGCCGGGCTGGCCGCCGGCTCCGTCCGGGATGAAGAGTGAGTGCGGCCGGGCGGGGCCGCGGGTGCGGAGCCGCGGGGCGCTGGGAGCGAGGGCGGCGGAGGGCCCGGGGACCCCGACCTTAAGGGCCCGACTCATCGCCTTGAGGGGTGAGGGGGGTCCAGGCCCCCTGGGCTGGAAGAGCCGATGAGTCGAAGGTGCAAAAAAATTCCGACTCCTTTCCTGGGAAAAGATCAATGACGTTAGTGTAGTTGTAATGTGTCAAATTTGCATCATCGCCTAATTGTCAGCGAGCAGTGGTGAATGGCCTAAATTGTGTATATGGCCTAAATTGTGTATATGGCATAGACTGTGTATTTGGCATAAATTGTGTATATGGCATAAATTGTGTATATGGCAAGAATTGTGTATATGGCATAAATTGTGTATATGACATAAGTTGTGGGACAAAGATGTTAAAAATAACCCACTTGCCTCACTCACCCTGTACAAGCATTCTTACGCTCTCTTGTTGGATATTGTTGGCCGTCTGGCTCTCTGACGAATGCGCCCAGAGCTGTGGTTAGAAGGCAGGGTCTACAATTATTTATTTTGCAAATTTTTGAAGCTGCAGAAAAGTTGCAGGAAGAGGTCCTTGCATGTTGATAAACCCTTCACCTAGATGCCCCACTATGTTCTGGATTTTCTCCCTAAGCGATGTATTCGTTTTTGCTGAACCTTTGAAAGTTCGTTGCAGACAGCGTGACATTTCATCGCTAACAATTCAGCAAGTGTCTGCTAAGAACAAGAACATAGTCCTGCACAGTCACAGTGTAGCTAACACGTTGACACAATACTGTCATCGAGTATGCAGTCTATAATTCAGATTTCCCCAGTTATTCCAATAATGTTCATTATAGGTGATTTTATTCTTCCCAGGATCCAGTCAAAAATCACAAATTGGAATGTTGATATCCTATTTCTTGGTCTCCTTTAATTTGGCACTGCCCAGCCTTTTGTGTCTTTTTTTTTTTTAATACATTTTATTAATTTTTTACAGAAAGAAAGGGAGAGAGATAAAGAGATAGAAACATCGATGAGAGAGAGACATCGATCAGCTGCCTCCTGCACACCCACTACTGGGGATGTGCCGGCAACCAATGTATATGCCCTTGACCGGAATCGAACCTGGGACCCTTCAGTCCGCAGGCAGACGCTCTATCCATTGAGCCAAACCGGCTTTGGCCTTTTTTTTTTTTTTTTTTTTTTTTAATATGTTTTTATTGCCCAGCTGGTGTTGCTCAGTGGTTGAGTGTAAACCTATGAACCAGGAGGTCAAGGTTGGGTTTCCGGTCAGGGCATATGCCTGGGTTGCAGGCTCGATCCTTGGTGTGGGGCATGCAGGAGGCTGCGATCAATGATTCTCTCTCATCATTGACGCTACTATCTCTCCCTCTCCCTTCCTCTCTGAAATCAATAATAAATGTGTGTGTGTGTGTGTGTGTTTATTGATTTGAGAGAGAGAAGAGGGAAAGGGAGAGAAAACACATTGATTGGCTGCCCCCTGCTGTCTGCTTTTGGTTGTTGTTTTTAAAGAAGTCTGCTTCACTTGATTTATCTGTGATAAAACACAAATTGGAATTTGTTGTATAAAATTTCCTCCTCCCATCTCAAATCTGAATTCCTCAGGCCACAGCCCGGCTTTCAGGAACTGGCCCCCGTCCCTCTGGTGAGCTGGGTGCCTCTCCCTCTAAACGGCTGTTGTAGTGTGAGGGCAGTTCATTGTAAGCTCCTTGTGCTGTTAGCAGTTAGCCAACGGCTTCACTGGTTTCTTAAAGTTCTTGGGAACTTTTTTTTATTTTTTTTAATTTAGTAAATCTTTATTGTTCAGATTATTACAGTTGTTCCTCTCCCCGCCCCATAGCTCCCTCCATCTGGTTCCCATCCCCCCCCCATTGTCCTCATCCATAGGTGTATGATTTTTGTCCAGTCTCTTCCCGCATCCCCACACCCCTTCTCCCCAGAGAGTTGTTAGTCCACTCCCTTTCTATGCCCCTGATTCTATTATATTCACCAGTTTATTCTGTTCATCAGATTTTTAATTCACTTGATATTTAGATTCACTTGTTGATAGATATGTATTTGTTGTTCATAATTTTTATCTTTATGTTTTTCTTAAAGTAATATAAATTCATTTAAAGTAATATAAATTCACACACATTTAAAGTAATATAAATTCTCACACATTTAAAGTAATATAAATTCATCTTGAATATTGAAAATTACAGAAAAGTATAATGAGCAAATTAAAATCACAATCAATCCCACCCAGACAATATATACTGTCTTTTAAATTCTTTTACACCTTTACAACCCATCTTCTATGCATGTGTATGTATTTGTAGGGTCATTGCATCCTTTTCTCCCTTCATATTAAATAATAGCTGAACATTTTCCTTTATCGTTAAATGGGATTTGAAAGCATGGTTTTCAGTGGCTGCATAATATTTAGCTGGTGGCTATTCCATAATGAATGTCATTTCCTTGATTTCAGCTACTTAAGCTTTAGCATCCTCGCTGTCGTGACACTGTGACAAATGTCTTTGACTATGAATCTTGCTCGGGTCTCTGTTGGTATTCTCGGGATCGAAACCTGGAAGTGTAACTGCTGAGCCAGGGATATGGATTCTTAACTTCCTAATTCTTTTTCCTACTTGAACACGCAGTTCAGCCCAACCAGCTTGGCTCAGTGGTTGAGTGTGGATCTATGAACCAAGAAGTCACGGTTCGATTCCCGGTCAGGGCACATGCCTGGGTTGCGGGCTCAATCCCCAGTAGGAGGTGTGCAGGAGGCAGCCGATCAAGGATTCTCTCTGATCATTGATGGTTCTATCTCCCTCTCCCTCCCTCTCTGAAATAAATAAATAATTTGTTTGTTTGTTTTAATGTGCCCTGTGGAAGGGGTGTGGGAGAGGCTGCCTCCTTGAGGCTGAACAGTTTCCCAGGCCTGCTCTGTGCTGATGCAGGTTTGGGATCTGAAAGTGACGGGCATTTTTGTTCAATAGGGCTTCTGCTCTATTATTTGCTTCTGGTGAGTTCTGCATGTAAGGTTCGATTCTAGACCTACTTCTCGAGCTGCTTTGTTTCTTTTTAGTCTTGCTCTTCCTCTCTGTATCTCCTTCCACCGGGGCCTCCAAGAGTCCCTGAAACCACATCCCAGCATTGCTCTTCCCGGGCCAAGGGAAAAGGCCCAGCAGCCCAGCAGCCCGGCAGACACTCGGTCTGGGGAAGGCAGCAGGATCACCATCCACCAGGCTCCCCCTGGTCCAGCCTGCTCTCTGCATTTTTCAGGTTTTTGTTAGCAGCCACAGCCCTCTCCAAGATACTCCTGTCTGAGTCTGTCGGGTTTGGTTTGTAAAGCAGAAACTAGGCATTTTAAGCAGAAAGGCATCTGCCATTGTAAAACCATTATCAGTGCAGGGGGCAATGGTGGCGGCGGCGGCACAAGGCCAGGGGCCGCTGCTGTCAGTTCCAGGAAATCAGGAATTGCAAGAATCGCAGGACGCTGGGCGGCTCAGCTGGGCCTCGGCGGGACCAGAGAGGGCGGCCTTCAGGAGAATGCTCCGAGGTGCTGGTGCAGCGTCCCCTCTGCCGAATGCCCAGGCCCAGGTGAGCGCTCCGCCAGAACCACCCCAGCCGGAGCCTGTGCCTCTGCTTCCCACACCTCCTGGGGCCTGAGCCTCTCATCACCCCAGGCTGCCAATCACGTGGTTCCCTGCTGGTGGGGGGGAGGGGGGGATGGGATTGCAGAGAGAAAACAAAATGGGGGAATGCGGAGCCTTGGAAAAAAGGAGAAATCCTCAGTACAGGATGCCAATTATCTTTTTTTTGAAATGTATTTTTATTGATCTCAGAGAGAAAGTGAGAGGGAGAGAGAGAAACATCAATGATGAGAGAGAATCCTTGATCGGCTGCCTCCTGCACGCCCCCTGCTGGAGATCAAGCCCGCAACCTGGGCATGTGTCCTGACCAGGAATCGAACCAAGACCTCCTGGTTCATAGGTTGATGCTCATAAACTGCCGATTACCTTACAGGTAAAAGGTTCACTGTCTGGAAAGAAGTACAAAACACATGTATAAATAAAACCTCATTTTTATAATTGTTTGTATTTATAGACTACAAAGCAATTGGCAAAATAGGCGAGGGAACGTTTTCTGAAGTTATGAAGATGCAGAGCTTGAGGGATGGAAACTACTATGCATGCAAACAAATGAAACAGCACTTTGAAAGGTAGGCGATGAGACGAGTTCACACAGAATGCAGCCTCGGGTTTAAATCATCAGGACAACTTAGTATTCGTGGGAATATTCTGTTCATGTAATATGTACAACAGTCAAATTTCTTTAGGCAGTGAGGATTAGGGCTAATTTTATGTTTGTTATACTGGATTTTATTTATGTCCCAGTTTACTGTGATATCAATGATTAATTGCTTACAAAAAAAATTCCAGTTGGGCCAAAACCGGTTTGGCTCCGTGGATAGAGCGTCGGCCTGAGGACTCAAGGGTCCCGGGTTCGATTCCGGTCAAGGGCATGTATCCTGGTTGCGGGCACATCCCCAGTAGTGGGTGTGCAGGAGGCAGCTGATCGATGTTTCTCTCATCGTTGATGTTTTTAACTCTCTCTCCCTCTCTCTTCCTCTCTGTAAAACAATCAATTAAAAAAATATATATATATATGGCCGAAACCGGTTTGGCTCAATGGATAGAGTGTCGGCTTGGGGACTGAAAGGACCTGGGTTCGATTCTGGTCAAGGGCATGTACCTTGGTTGCGGGCATATCCCCAGTAGGGGGTGTGCAAGAGGCAGCTGATCGATGACTCTCTCTCATCAATGTTTCTAACTCTCTATCTCTCTTCCTTCCTCTCTGTACAAAATCAACAAAATATATTTAAATATTATATATAAATTATATATATTAAATATATATAAATATATATTAAATATATATTAAGTATATATAAATAAATATATATTAAATATATATAAATAAATATATATTAAATATATATATAAATAAATATATATTAAATATTATATATTTATATATATATATATATATATATATATATATATATATATATATATAAATTCCAGTTGGAAAACTATGCCTCTCTTACACAGTCTGTATGTTCCTCAGAGTTCTGGGTATTGGACTTTTATAAATGAAACCTTTGAGGCCCTTGTGATTGTATTAATTTTGAGTCATTTAATGTTCTGAGAAATAATTTCCAAGGAGGGCTGGAGAAATCAATTCCCTGGGGTGACAGTGTGTGGAGAGGGGGCTCTCTGACTAGGGCCTAGTCCCTTGCAGGAGTTCTGGGGCTGTGTCCCTTGGAGTCTCTTAAAGTCCTTGTGGTTGCCCTTAGCCTAGATTAGTGGTCAGCAAACCGCGGCTCTCGAGCCACATGCAGCTCTTTGGCCCCTTGAGTTTTTAGCAAAGGCCAGCTTAGGAGGACTCTAATGAAGTTAATAACAATGTACCTACCTAGATAGTTTAAGTTTTAAAAATTTGGCTCTCAAAAGAAATTTCAATCATTGCACTGTTGACTAATGAGTTTGCCCACCACTGGCCTAGATCACACTAAACAGTCATTACATACTACTGGAATAATGGGTAAATGCCAGCTTTGTCACAACTGTTACGTTTTTCAATACAGACGCCTGAAGCTCATCTTTTAAAATTGTTATTTATTTTTTTGTTTTATTGATTTCAGTGAGAGGAAAGGAGAGGGAGAGGGGGAAAGAAATATCAGTGAAGAGAGAAAATCATTGTTTGGCTGCCTCCTGCACACCCGCTACTGGGATGGAGCCTGCAACCCAGGCATGTGTCCTGATTGGGAGTCAAATCATGACCACCTGTTTCAGAGGTCACCCTTAACCACTAAGGAACACTGGCCAGGCGAGGCGAGGCTTTTAATGTCAAAGAAATTGAAGTCTCTAAATATCTAAAGCACATTTTTAAAAAGCATAATCATCCCCCTCTCCCTCCCACGTTGGTGCAGAGCCTTCTGAAGTGTTTGGGGTTATAAACCTTGATTTCGGACTCTCAGTGTGAAAAAACCGTGTCTGAGAGCAGAAAGGAGTATAGGGCACTAGTGGTGCCCAAGAGTGTGGAGAACAGTAATTTAATCCTGGAGACAGCCCCACAGGGTCAGAGTCATCTTTCCTGTCCTGTGCAGGAGAGCAGGTGCCGAGGGGTGTGACGCAGCTGACGGCTGTCACTCCAGGTCCTAGGTGGGCAGAGCCAGATTTGAATCCAGATTCCTCGTCCTCACTGCCCACAGTGTGTGGCCGTTACCTGCTCTGCTGAGACAGCTGTGGCTGGTCTCCTGCCTTCCTCTGTCACTTCTTCCCCTGTGGGACAAATATTACTCTTCTTCTTTTAGTCTTCACCTGAGGATATTTTTTCCATTGATTTTTTTAGAGAGAGTCGAAAGAAAGGAAGAGGGAGAGAAAAAAAAAAAGAGAGAAACATTGATGTGAGGGAGGCACATTGATTGGTTGCTTCCTGCTCTTGCTTCGACGGGGGCCAGAGATCTAACCCGCAACCCAGGTGTGGTCCCTTGACTGGGAATCGAACCCGAGCCCCTTCAGTCCGAGGGTTGGTGTTCTAACCACTGAGCACCCTGCCAGGGCTGTCAGAGTACTCCTGATAGAGAATTGGATGCAGTGTCCTGACTGCCTGGCGTGTGGGAGCAGACTCAGACGGCCACATTGGAGAGACAGCCCCGATGGCAGCAGCAGGGGCGAGACAGTTGCCTCAGAAGAGAACCAGTGCCACTGTCGGGCTCAGGGGTAGGCCTGCTTGCCGACAACAGGACTTGCCAGCTGCTATTTCAGAGAAGAGACACAAACAAAAAGTGGGCTGACAAGTAGCCTCCCCACTCGGGCACTTTGGTGGCGGCTGCGGAGTCAGAGCCCTGCATGGCACGCTCGCCGTGGAGCCAGCGTCAGTGCGTCCTCTCGGCCCAGTCGTCCCCTCGGGAAGGGAGGGCTCTCTGGAACGCGGCTGAGAAGTCAGCCAGGGTCAGTCTGCCTTAAGGGGCATTCCCGTGAGGGGTGGCAGACACTCCTGTCACCCCTGCCCCTCGGGAGGAGGTAGCATTACCTAAGGAGGACACTCCTCCCGTTCCTCCATCCACCAGGTTCCCGACACACCAAAAGGGCTCCCTGGTGTTAGCCAGGCCAGGGTCTCCAGGTCTGGGCCGTTGTCACTGAATGCTGTTCTTGCTAGGGTTCAAATACAGCACAGTGTTTTGCAGACCAGCTGTAAACAGGATGAACTTGACAGGAACTGAACCAGGATCAGTGTAGCAGCTGCAGAGAAGAAATCAGTCACACTGAGCCCCTGAGCCCGGGCTTCCTTGTTGTGAGGGGCTTGAGGAGCAAGCGAGGGAAGGACTAGGTCAGTGGTCTGCAAACTCATTACTCCACAGAGCCAAATATCAAGAGTACAACGACTGAAATTTCTTTGGAGAGCCACATTTTTAAAACTTAAACTTCTTCTAACGCCGCTTCTTCAAAACAGACGTGCCCAGGCCGTGGTGTTTTGAAGAAGAGCCACACTCACGGGGCCAAAGAGCCGCAGGTGGCTCACGAGCCTCAGTTTGCCGACCACGGGACTGGGAAGTAGCTAGCAAGGTGGGCGTGCACTTAATGTTCAACAGACGGCAGCCTCGTTGCTGGATGTGTCATCGTTTGATGTAGTTGAGAACAATTCTTGCTCTTTGCCTTCACTTTAAAAGTGGTTGATTGGAACACATTTTTCTTTAAAAAACCCATAGTAAGTAAAGATTTTAAATAAAAGTACCAGAGGACTTGTGTTCCTTTTTAATAAAGTGCCACAGGATTTGTGTTCCTTTGCTTTGCTGTCGAGTCTGGGAGCGTGGGAGGCGTCTGCAGTGTGACCACACTGTGGATGTTGCTTTCCTGGGAAGGGAGCGTGGGCCTGGGCCGCTGGTGGCTGGTGGCTGATGTGTAGATGAGAGGTCACCTCAGGCTCATGTGGACAGGTGTCCGCAGCCGTGCAGACCAGACCCGAGGGGACTGGACTCCGGGTTTATTCTGTGAGCTCTTACACACATGTTCAACCCAATGCTGCCGTTACTTATTTAATAAACGGGCCAGCTCCGGCCACGGGAGCTCTTCCAGGCTGGCTCTGATTCTTCTTCCTTTGGGACTACAAGATTCTGTGGCTCCTCTTGTATTTCCCTGCCCCTGGGACCTCCCGTGTCTCTAAGGAGCCTTGTCGCCTTTTATTGGAGAAAGATACTTGGGAACAAGACTTTGGCACCAGATGTGCTCCTGGCTCCTGGGATGTCACTACCTCTAGGCTTCCTCAGGAGACGAAGCCAGTGTGCGTGCGCACGGATCCATTTACCCGCCCCTCTGCCCCTCCCTCCCCACACATCTACCCAGCCGTCAGTCTATTCAAATAACCATGAGCACGTACTGACATCAGTAAGTGGCTTGCTTCTAAAGAATCCTCTATAATAAAAGGCTAATATGCAAATGGTTGTCACGCCCTCACACATAACGACTGATCAGCCACGTTGATTTACAGTAACAGAATACTGTTGGCTACATCACCAAACTGGATGCCGAGCTTCATTCTCTGTTAACAGAATCTCACCAGTTCAAAGGAAGAAGATTCGCACAATCACTTCCTTTCAGAACCTCTGGGATGAAAGTGTCTGATGGCTGAGGCCTCATTGGATGTGAGCGCTTGGGTCCAGGCTCCAGAGGGAGAGCCGGCAGCCTCAGGCCTGGGCCGCTGTTGCACTTGCATTGACGGATTTGGGGTGAGAACAGGGTGTCAGTGTAGCTGTCTTCTTAAAGAAAAACCTGCAGACATACCTGCTAGAGGGCGCCTGTCACCAGGTGAAGGAAGTTGACAAAAACGACAGCCTTAAGTAAGGAAGGATGGGTCTGTTTGTAGAAATTTAAAATGCTTATTTTTGCCAAAACCAGTGTGACTCGGTGGATAGAGCGTCGGCCAGCAGACTGAAAGGTCCTGGTTTCGATTCCGGTCGAGGGCATGTATCTTGGTTGTGGGCACATCCCCAGTAGGGGGTGTGCAAGCGGCAGCTAGTTGATGATTCTCTCTCATCGATGTTTCTAACTCCCTATCCCTCTCTCTTTCTCTCTGTAAAAAAATCAATAAAATATATATTTTTTTAAATTTCTTTTAAAAAATAAAATAAAATGCTTATTTTTACATTGCGGGTTGGTTAATTCCCATAAACTGATTCATAGGAAATTTTAATATCTCTATTTATATTTATTAATAGTAAAAGAAACTACCAAGGAGCTTGATGGGAAAAAATTGAATTTATATCCAATGCTCTAAGAACCTTGATTTTTATAAGATAATGCACAAACATATGTTTAATTTCTACTGCTAAGAGGAGAAGTAAAACCTGATTGTCTTGCTTGAAGTATTTGTGAGTTTGTCAGTTTTGATCAGGGATGATAGGTAATGATTTAATAGCCCAGATTTTAAACTTGGCCTGAATGATCAATCAGCTGTTTGTTTTTGCCTACATGATAGTATTGAGCAAGTGAACAACCTCCGAGAGATACAAGCACTGAGGCGCCTGAATCCACACCCAAACATTCTTACGTTGCATGAAGTGGTTTTGTAAGTATATTCGGGCCTTTAAAATTTATCTAAATCTGATGATAATGGTCAAGTCTCTTTTTAAGAAAGAAAATCATGGTTGGCATTATAGATGTTTTGTAACCCAGAGTGTCAGCTGACTCATAAAGTGACTCTGGGCCCCTGAGGCCTCGGTGTGAACTCTAACCTGACCCAGTGGGTGTGAACTCCGACCTGACCCACTGGCTCTGGGTCGTGTCTGGGACGTAGTGGGGGGATTGGCTTCCCTCCCCTACCACAGTCATCTGCTCATCGCTGCCGTCTCATGGAGCCTTTCATGGAGCTTCTCTTGATATGTCTTTAGGGAATTTTTTATTTCCGGTCTAACCATAGGACAGTTTCCCTAAGGCTCACCTGCCCATTTGGAAGTCAGGGCACAGCTGGTCCCAGGCACCGTGCCCAGAGCGGGCTCAGCCGGGGTTCCAGGCCGTCTCCCTGGGCCAGCGGCACCGATCCCTGAGAAGGTGGCGTGGCCTTTAAAACTGCCCAGAAGCGGTGGTCTCTGACAGCTAAGTGCGGCAGTGCCCGTCAGAGGCCCGGACCGTGTCAAACTCAGTGTCCACTGTCCTGTCGCAGCGTGCGGCCACCTGGCCTGCGGCGTGCTGAGCCATCGGCTTGGCTGCGTTTAGACACGGCCGTTCGCATGTGACAGTCACCACTGCCTGAGGGGAGGCGCTTTCCATGCGCTTTAGAAAGCGCTCTGTCCAGAATGGCCTGGGCCTCCTGGCAGCCCTGAGAGACGTGGGGGGGGGGGCCCAGGAGGCACCCTGAGCAGCCTGAGGTGTCACAGGCTACCCTACCGGGGGCAGAGGTCCCTTTTGGGGCTTCTTGAACCCAGAGGAAGCTGGCGGCGCAGCCAGAGGCCTCTGTCCCCACCCTGGGCAAGATGTCACTCAGGGCAAAGCCACTCCTCCTTCTCCCGTTTCCCCTGGCTTGTCCGGGACTCTGTTCTCCACGCCCCACCCACCCACCCCACCCCCATGGTAATGTGTCACATGGAGGTGATGGAGGTAAATTAAAACGAAGACTGCATTGCAGGCAGGAATTAAATCCTTCTCTCTCTGGTTATTCTGGTTGGCCTGCCCCCAGCCTCATTTCTTCTCTCTCTTGAGAGTTAATTTTATATTGTCAAGACATATATGTCTTTTTTGAAATGGGGAGGGGGCTCTTGAAGTGGGGAGGGGGCTTTTAGAGTTTGTGCCTTCAGCAGGACTTTGCTATTATTTTAAGTTAATTTTACCTGAAATGTAACTTCTGCTCCAGTCATTGCCCTCCAGGCTCTGCCTGATGTGGGGGTGCTTTATCTTTGCACAAAATGTTTACAGATGAATTAAATATTTGATTATATTTTCTGGTTGAAACACGAGAAAACATTTTAAAAACCTGCTTTCTTCCTCAGTGACAGAAAATCTGGTTCTCTTGCGCTAATATGTGAACTTATGGACATGAATGTTTATGAACTGATACGAGGTACGTGGAACCATCTGGAAGCTAACGTAAGAACTGACGGTAAAGCTTGTAGTTCATCCTGGCTGGCGCTCAGGTCGATGCACCGGGGGCAGCCATGTATAAACACAGGGAATCTCACCTGCCCCACATCCGCCCGGGGAGCAGGGGGTGGTCCCTGGTAAATGAAATGGGAAGGAAGGCCGCCAGCCGAGAGCCTGGCCGTGCATTGGAGAAGAGGATGGCGCTCAGCGAGCTGGGGCCTCACCTGTGGTCCCCACCTCGAGGGTCCCTCTTCCCTCAGGCTCTGCTGCTGATCCACCTTCTGTTCTCGCCTCGGAGTAAGGCGGGGCTCGGCCCCCAAAGAACCCCTCATATGCAAGGGAACCTCCTTATCTTTGGATCCTTCCAACGTCTCCCGAATGACAGACAGGGTGCTCATTCACTGGCTTTGTTTGGAACAGTGAAGCCCTGTTTAGGAGAGCAAGCGGGAGGAGGGAGGAAAGAGGGGGGACTGGCCAGGCGGCTGGCTTTGGAGGCTCACAGAGGTCACCTGAGGGGAATGGAGAGGAGGAGGCAGCCGTTTGGCCCACATTTAACAATTGTCCCGGGCGTGTGACCTCACGGTTGGTTAGATGTCAGGACAAGTGAGCCTTGTAAATGTCACTGAGAAAGCCCGGAGGAAGTGCTGCGTTTCACAGGTCACACTGAGCAAGAAAAGAACCTGCTCGTGTCACGCGAGGGGCTGCTTATGGCTTGGGGTGGAAGTCCGCGGCAGCCCCACAGACGCTTTAAAGCGGCCGGCCACGCTGCGCCTGCCGTGAGGAGCCCGCGCTGAGCACGCCCGAGGGGAGTGCGCACTTGGTGTTTTGTGAAGCGGGAGCGTGGGACGAGCCTCATGGCTCATTGACGGAGTTCACATGTGATTTGAAACACGTGGACACGTTTTCCTACATGCATAAAAGTTTATGTAAACTGTTTGGACGCAAAAGCTTTTGGAACTTTTTGGGGAAGATAGAAGATGTCTATCTGGGACCCTAAGGTGTTTCTTAATCATTACAAAAGGTGTGTATTTTACCCATAGGTTTAATCTTGTTTTAAATGCAATTCTAACAGATCTGGCTTCTTGGTCTAAAACCTATTTAAAATAGAGCTCTTAGAAGGAGCTTCTAGAACTTGGCACACCAGCAACAGCAGGAAGTGACAGGGCAGTCCATCCTTGGGGGGGAGTGGAGGGGCCTGGGGTATAGAACTTACACGTGAGTGAAAACAACACCAGAGGGTGAGAGCCGTCTGGGCGAACAGCTGCACGTCTCCGGGTCCCACAGGACACGCTAGGAAAGGCATGCCCCACGGGGGCGGGGCAGCACCACTCCAGCGCACTCAGGAGAGGCAGGAAGGTGAGTCCGGTGTGTCTGAGAATCCCATTTAAAGCGATCGCAGTGGAGAAGGGTTGGCATTCAACAAGGAAACTCATTTACCTGGGAATCTCACCTGCCCCGCGTCGGCCGGGAAAATGAGGTGCTGCCACATGGTTACACCTGCTGCCTGTGCCGGGCCCTTCCCGCCATCCTCCGTGTGTGTAGCTAAGAGAGTGCAGGCGGCAGCCCACGCAGCCGGGAGCATCACCACGGCCTCGCCAGTCCCTAATAGCAGTGCCGGTGCCAGTGAGCCCGAGTCTTTCCCCCGGGGCAAACCTGCCCTCCCGCTTCCCTGTCTCAGGGCAGGGCTCGGTGTGAGGCCAGTGCCTCACGTTAGAATTCTCAGCGTTGCTTCCTACAGTGGGTAGCTCAGAACTCAAGGCCATGGGGTCATTTCCGGCAAGCTTCTGTGCATCTAGACATTGGAGAAAGCTTTGTTCAGAAGTAAGAGTCTAATTTCCGGCAGTAGGGGAATTGTATCGTTGGGGAAATTGCATCCATTTCTTCCAGCATCTGCCTCCAGGGGGAGACTTGGAATAGGCCGTGCGATGTGGGTGCGGGGCCACTGGCCCACCACACAAACCCGGTGCCGCCCACAGGCCGGTGCCCTGGTGGTGAGGGCGGCCTGGAGTCAGAGACGTCAGGACCTGGGAGAGCGGCAGCAGCGATGGTCAGGCCAGCACTCGGTGCTGGAATAGCTGCCTGGCTTCAGAACTGTGAACCTGAATTTAGGGCAGCATGGTTAATTGCCTAATCTGAGCTACGATTCAGATTATTCCGTGGGGTTTAAAGCGGGAGATAGGATGGCTGGTGGTTGCGCCTGAATCTAGGAACCAGGAGGTCATAGTTTGATTCCCGGTCAGCGCACAAGCCCAGGATTGGGGCTCCATCCCCACTAGGGGGCGTGCAGGAGGCAGCCAAAGGATGGTTCTCTTTCATCATTGATGTATCGATCTGTTTCTCCCTCTCCCTCCCTCTCTCTGATATCAGTTTTTTTAAGAAAAGAAAAAAAAAAGTTTAAACCAGGGGGAGGGTATGTATTGATTGGTATTTAGACCAGTGTTTCTAAAACTATAGCAGAAAACCGGATTTGGTTTTTACTATGTTGCGACCAGACCACGTGTAAGTGCGGTAATTGCCGGGAAAAGGGCTGTGGGCTGGACGTCACAGCAATGCTGAACTGCTGCCAAAGCTGCCGCGCAGTGGCTGTTCCTTCCCGCCATCCCGCTCGGACTGGGGGTCCCGAGGCCGGCGTCAGTGTGCGGCTGTGCCGAGGAGCACCTGCAGCGGCTTGTCGGGCTGCAGCGTAAAGAAAGGGACCCGACACAGCGGTAGGGTCAGCCCTCTTCTGTAGGAGTGCATTCCCTATTAGCTTAACTCAGCGGTCGGCAAACTCATCAGTCAGCAGAGCCAAACAGCAACAGGACAACGACTGACATTTCTTCTGAGAGCCAAATTTTTTAAACTTAAACTTCTTCAACATAGACGCGCCCAGGCCGTGGTACCTTGTGGAAGAGCCACACTCAAGGGGCCAAAGAGCCGCATGTGGCTCTCGAGCCGCAGTTTGCTGACCATGGGTTTAACGGGAGGGTTTTAGCTCCAGTTCATTTCCATGGACAGCTCAGGCCGTGTGCTGGGTTACCACGCAGCTGCTGACAGTTCTGCCTGGCCTGACTGTGTCAGAACAGTTCAGCTGTGTGTTTCTATTTCATCAGATCTGACCACTGGTTATACAATGCGCATTCCACTGTTTTTAATGTACCGAGGGGAAAGAAAGAAAACATTGCCAATCCAGCTCTGACACGTACGCAGGAGTGTTATCGATGTTAGAAGAGGGCCCTTTGGGATCTCCTTAGCCGGCTCCCGTGTCCCTTTGTGCACGTGTGCAAAGGAAAGTCGGGTGAAGGGAGTCAGTCGCGGGCTCCTCACACCTCCTGGGACGCAGAGTGATGGCTGGCTTTGCTCTCCTTACGTGTCAGCCTGCCGTTCAGGGTGTAGGTGGCGTCACCTTTTATCCCTGTGCCAGTGGCACCGTCCTGGCGGTTCTGGTGCTTCTGGGGAGCCGTCGGGCACCGTTGCGGCAGCACGGACCTCCCACATGGCGGAGCACACACCAGTCAGAGCAGCGCGTGCCCGGGGTGCGGAGAGGGCGGGCAGGCGCTGTGATGGGGCGATCAGTCCTAACCCTGAGGGCCGCTGTGAGAGTCCAATAACACACGCGCTGAGAGCTAAGGCTGTGCCTGACTCGCTGCCTTCAGCAAACAGCGGCAGCTGTTATTATTTGACAGTTCATAGAGGAGCCAGCTCCTCTTTAGAGCGAGGAAATAGAATTTCAAAGAAGTGAGGTAGCACTCGCCTCAGATGAGCCGCTTCAAAGAGCCGAGCTGGGAGGACCGGTGCTTGAGTGCGGCCGTGGTTGCTGAGGGGGTGCTGGTCACAGCTCAGGCTCCTCGCTGAGTCTAACGCCTCACCTGCTTCCCTCTGCCGGTCCCGATCGCTAACCGCGCTCAGAACAGTGGGCCACGGCCGAAACCGGTTTGGCTCAATGGATAGAGCGTCGGCTTGGGGACTGGAGGGTCCCGGGTTCGATTCCGGTCAAGGGCATGTGCCTTGGTTGCGGGCATATCCCCAGTGGGGGGTGTGCAAGAGGCAGCTGATCGGTGACTCTCATCGATGTTTCTAACTATATCTCTCTCCCTTCCTCTCTGTACAAAATCAATAAAATATATTAAAAGAAAAAAAAAAAAGAACAGTGGGCCACGGTGCCAGGCCCTCCTTCGCCAAGCACCGCGTGGTGCGGGGCCACGGCCTCTGGGCCTTCGGGCTGTGCCATGGTGGACCCAGTGTGCACCTCCAGCCTGACCCACAAAGCCAGGCCCAGGCCTGGGGACCGGGCCCCATGTGGAAAAGGGGGGAAGGGGAGGTGATTGGCTTGTCACAGTGCAGGCTACACATCTCCTCTGAGGCCTGACAGCAAAGCCGGAGTTTAGCGTTGTGTTCACATTACTGGTACTGAACTCGACATTCTTTAGAATCTCCCTAATGAGAAAATTAACTTGGAAAAACTTCCCTGGTCAGGACAGCTAAGAGAGACGAGGCGCCTGTCTCCATCAGTAGCTCCGCTCCATCAGGCAGGGAGCCTCCAGGGCGGGGGAGGGGAGGTGCCAGGGTGCGAGTGGATGGGGGTCCCCAGGAGAAAGGATGGTGGCCCTGAAGAGGCTCCTCCACTGGGGGCTGCAGGCGGGGAGACACGCAGGGCCAAGGTCTTCCGGGACTAAAACAAAGGTCTTCCTGCACTTCTGTTAGCCTGAGCTCTCCCCCTTTGAAACGGAAAGCTGCACCAGACAGGACCCCCGGCAAACTCTGGGTTCCCCAGTGACTGCTGGTGGCCCCAGGCAGCAGGGGGAGGAGGGTCCGGGAGGAAGGCTTACAGACTAGGCCACCTGTGAGTCTTTTTTTTTTTTTTTTTTTTTAATATATTTTATTGATTTTTTCACAGAGAGGAAGAGAGAGGGATAGAGAGTTAGAAACATTGATGAGAGAGAAACATCGACCAGCTGCCTCTTGCACACCTCCTACTGGGGATGTGCCCGCAACCAATGTACATGCCCCTGACCGGAATCGAACCTGGGAACTTTCAGTCCGCAGACCGACGCTCTATCCACTGAGCCACGCCGGTTTCGGACACCTGTGAGTCTTACCCGACGCAGCCCTCACCGCCCTCAGAGTGCGAGCACCGGACCCCTGCGACTTGGTCCCGTGAGATTCCGAGGGGCTCCTTTTGTGGTGCCCCCCGTGTTCCCTGCAAAACGGCTCAGGCCATTTCTCACAGAGGAAGTTAGGCTTTCACACAGAATTAAATAAAAGCAGATTCCGCCTTTTATTTCAAAAGAGGGTCCGAGGACCCCTAGTAATCGTATCTGGCTGTTTCCTGACTGCCCAGGGAGAAGACATCCGTTATCAGAAAAGAAAGTTGTGCACTACATGTACCAGCTGTGCCGGGCCCTCGATCACATGCACAGGTACGCCCCGGAGACACAGCGGCCCGCGGTGATGGGAGGCAGTAACAGTCATTAGGAATGCAATGTGAAGGCGTGTGAATGAACGGGGTACAATTAATTCTATCCTTCCTTTTATATTGAACGCAGAAATGGAATATTTCACAGAGATGTAAAACCAGAAAATATATTAATAAAGGTAAGGGCTTTTATACAAAAAGTTGATATCAGAATAAAGGTAGAATGTAAAACTTTTTTTAAAAAATATATTTTTATTAATTTCAGAGAGGACTGGAGAGGGAAAGAGAGAGAGAGAGAAACATCAGTGATGAGAGAGAATCATTGATTGAGCCAGCAACCCGGGCATGTGCCCTTGACCAGAATTGAAACTTGGGACCTTTCAGTCCGCAGGCCGATGCTCTATCCACTGAGCCAAACTGGTTTCGGCTAGTATGTGCTCTTTTTTTGGTCTGGCTTATTTCACTTTGAAATTGTCCCGCAGTTGTTAGGTGTTCTGTTTTCCCGTTCTTTCTTCTCTGCCTTTCGGTTCGGGTTGTTGCTGTTAGCCTGTCTCCCAGCCCCCTAAGTCTCTCCCTGGCTGTGTTTGGTTTATCAAGAACCCAGCAAAGTCATTTTTTACTTCTGCTGATTTTATTAAATTTCTAGTGTTTCCTTATGATTCTTTAAAAAAAAAAAAAATATATATATATACATATATATACATATATATATATATATATATATATATATACCATTGATTTTTTTACTGAGAGAAAGAGAGAGGGATAGAGAGAAACATCAATGAGAGAGAAACATCAATCAGCTGCCTCCTGCACACCTCCTGCTGGGGATGTGCCCGCAACCAAGGTACATGTCCTTGACCGGAATCGAACCTGAAACCTTTCAGTCCGCAGGCCGACGCTCTATCCACTGAGCCACACCAGTTAGGGCATCCTTATGATTCTTAGGGTTTCCATCTCTCTGTTGACGTTTCCCACCTGAACTTGCATGTTGTCTACTTCTCCCATTTAGAACCCTTCATAGGTGAATCAGATTATTTTATTTTATTTTTTTAAATATATTTTTATTGATTTCAGAGAAGAAGGGAGAGGAAGAAAGATAGAAACATCAATGATGAGAATCATTGATCGGCTGCCTCCTGCACACCCTCCACTGGGGATCGAGCCCGCAACCTGGGCATGTGCCCTGACCAGGAATCAAACCCAGGACCCTTTAGTCTGCAGGCCAATGCTCTGTCCACTGAGCCAAACCGGTCAGGGCAGTCATGGTCACTTTAAATTCCGTCTGATAATTCTGAAACCCATGCCATGTCTAAGCCCAGGCCTGACGCCCGCTTTGTCTCTCCAGCCTGAATTTTCCCTGCCCTTTACCAGCCTTCCGCTTTCTGGCTGAGAGCCTGACGTGACCGGTTGGGGAATGGCGACCTCGCAGAGCGGGCCTCTGGCCTTCTGGCTCAGAGATAGGCTGTGTTTAGTGTTCGCGGGAGCGTACGTGCGCGAGGCGGCGGTCCTTGGCCGCGTGTATTCTGTTACCTGAACGTGAGGGGTGAAGGAAATGGAGGCAATATCCCGAGACCCGCCTCCCCCGTCTGACTTGCCCGAGTGGCGCCGGGGCGTCAGCCTGTGGTGTGTGACTCACCCTTAGACTGCAGACGTTGGGAAATGGCTGTGAAACAAGTTCCCCTGAATAGAAGCACCACTTCCTCACCTTCAGGGTCAGGGTCAGGGTCAGGGTCAGGGTAACTGGCATTTTACAAGCCAGGTTAGACGCTAGTGTTTTCCCGTTTGCACATAAACATTTGAGATGGCTTATGTTACAAGAACGACCCCATGAGCCGTCCTTTGTCCCCGCCTCCTCCCCCTGCAGCAGGAAATCCTGAAATTAGGCGACTTCGGGTCCTGTCGGAGCGTCTATTCTAAGCAGCCGTACACGGAATACATCTCCACCCGCTGGTACCGGGCCCCCGAGTGCCTCCTCACCGACGGCTTCTACAGCCACAAGATGGACCTGTGGAGCGCGGGCTGCGTCTTCTACGAGATCACCAGGTAGAGCCCGGGCCAGCGCCCCCGTGCCCGCGCGCCCGCGTGCCCACGGCAGGCCCGCGCCAGGCCTCCTCACAGCGCCATCTCCCAGCCACCCCGAGGCCGTGACTGCCCTAACTCCCAGAATGGGCCTGTGCTTTCTGTGTCCTCAGTGACGTGATGCATTACCAAGCTAGGAACCCAGCAGAAATGTGCTTACTGCCACCTGGGGGGCCCGCCGGCAGGGGGCAGGGGGCCTCTGGGTGAGGCGGGGGTGATTATCCAGCACATCCCAGTCCTCACCATCCTGCCAGCCCTATGCCCCGCCTTCAGGCCTCACCACCGGAGGCAGCATGGCCTGGGAAGAAGGGAGGAGGCGAGGAGGGTGTGGAGGGGAAGCAGCCCTCGCAGAGGGCGAGGGTGGGGCAGCTCCCCAGGCTCACGGTGCCTTAAGGACCGGGGTGCATTAATGTCTGGGCGATGCATTAGACAGCCCAGCAGAGGCAGGGACCCAGGTCTGTTCCCGCCCGCTCAGCTGACTGCTTCAGGAATGCAGGACATGGGTTCACACCCTTCTAGATCATTCCTATGAATAATTGTTAGCTTTTGAGAGCTGAATTGTGACGTCACTGACGCTAAGAGTGCCAACAGACCTCCCTTTCTCTCGTGCTAATGAAATGCCATGCGTTAATTTGGAAGGACGTTTCAGGACGTCGGTGCCGCGGACGGCCAGGAGGAAGGGGACTGTCCTAACCTCAGCCCCTTGTCACGTTCTTCCAGTCTGCAGCCCCTCTTCCCGGGAGCCAACGAGCTGGACCAGATCTCCAAAATCCACGACGTCATGGGCACCCCCGCTGCCAAGACCCTCACCAAGTTCAAGCAGTAAGTGCCCGTGCTCCCAGGAGCCCCGAGGGGACCTGGCCCTGCCAGGGCTGGCAGCACCCTCTGTCGGCCGTGCAGCCCCTCAGTCCTTGGGGCCCCCGGGGGGTCCGAGAGGGATGCTGTCCCTCAAGCAGCACACACAGTTCCTCCCGCCTTGCCGAGACCCGGCAGTGAGTTGCTGGCGCTGAACAGTCGCACCCTTTCCCAGCACTGGGAGGCCTCTAGGTGGACTGCCCCGCACTGACACCGACCGTCAGGTTGTGTGTTGGTCAAAGATGAAGCTCGGTCAGAGGGGCGTCTGTTAGAATGCTGAGCCACATTGGCCCGACCCGACACTGTCCCCCGAGGTCCACAGCTCCCATGGGGGCCACTCTTGGGTGACATCACCTGCGGGTTTGGACCCTGTGTATTCTGCCCCTTTAGGTCCCAGACTGTCCCCCCAGGGCAGGTCCCTGTAGAGTGACAATGGCATGATTGTTTATTATCATTGGGCTTTTAATACAGGTCGAGAGCTATGAGTTTTGATTTTCCTTTTAAAAAGGGATCAGGAATACCTCTACAGACAGCCAATCTGTCCCCGCAATGCCTCTCCCTCCTGCACGCCATGGTGGCCTATGATCCCGACGAGAGAATCACTGCCCACCAGGCCCTGCAGCACCCCTATTTCCAAGACCAGAGGTGGGTGGTCTGGGTGACAGGGGGCGGGTGCTGGCTGCTGAGCCACGGGTGGGGGTGTGGTGGGCCGCCCAGTGGGGTCCCTGGACAGCTCTCCCTGTCCTTTTCTGGAATCTCTCCCAGGAGAGGCTGTTAGTGGCGCCAAGGGAGGGCTCTGCTAAGACTGTGGAGCCGCCCACACCACTGTGAGGCTGAACTCGCTCTCAGGTCTCAGCACATGGGCACACTGATTTGAGTCCATGCTCTGAGCTGTCCGACTCCACACCCCTGTCCATTCCTGCGTGTGACCGTGGAGATGACATCTGACCCAAACCTTGAGGCGGGGCAGGGGTGGGGGCCTGGGGCAGGGCCACTCCAGCCCAGAGACAGTGGCTGAGACAGAAAAGGGAAAAGGCCCTCAGATAGTCCGAGTGGGAAGCAGAGCGGTGCCCGCGCTGTGACAGCACGCCTGGAGGCAGCACCCCTGTGTGCGGTGCTCAGCGGCCCCGTCTTCCCCCTGCAGGGCCGCGGAGAAGCAGGCTCGGGGCGGCCACCGCAAAGTGGCACCGGAGCTGCTCAGTAACAAGTGGCAGATTTCCAAGGAGGGCAGCAAGCAGGTACGGAGGGAGCGGGGAGCTGGGAGGGGTTTGGGGGGAGGACTGCACCCCTCAGGTGGCTGGTGTCTCCCTGCGAGGGCTCCATTGTCCCCCTCTTCCTGCCCCACTAGCTAAGGGTCAAGGACAACACCTGTGAGCAGGCCAGAAGTGGGCGGGGGGGGGGTCCTCCAGCCCAGGGGTCACTCCTTGTGCCCTCAGACCCTCCCAGAGGGGGCACAGAGAGCTGCACACCGGCCCAGTGGCCCTGCTCGCCAGTGACCGCCCAGAGCATGCCGTCTGCTCGGCTGGAGCGGGGAGCCCCTCGGGCTCCAGGCGAGCGCTCCTCCCCGTCACAGCGGCTTAGAAAGGACAGCCTCCCTTGGCAGCACCTTCCTTTCTGTCCACGGGCCACGTGCTCGGCCCCCAGTGTTGTAGTCACTCAGTGCCACGTCCACTTGTCCCTGCTTTTCCTGCTGTCACTGCGAGCGGGGCTGGGGCCGCACGTGCACCTGCAGCCAGGCTGCTTTCCGGAACTCTGGGCGCCCGGCCCACGCCCACACGTGTCTGCGAGGCCAGAGAGCAAGCCCTGTAGGCTTTGCGGCCATACGGCCTCGTCTCAGCTGCCCGCAGGGACGATGCATAAAGGAATGGTGGGGGGAGGTGGACGGGAGGCGGTGGCCACAGGAGAGCTCAGAGAGGGGTGTCAGATCTGTCTTCAGAGAGGGGACAGGAAGATGAAAAATGAGCTCACGTATTCCCATAAAACTATGGATGTTGACATTAGAATTTCATAGACTTTTCATGCCATGAAAGTATTTTCAACTACAAAAAAAGTAAAAGCCACTCAAGCCAGCCAATGAGTCTGCTTACCTGAATGTGTTGTGCAGAAATTTAGAGAAAGCTGGCAATAGTAAAGCCATGTTACGAGCCTTAAAGACATTGAAGTCATTAAGGTCCCTGAAAATGGCAATAAGAAGTTTAAAAAAAAAAAAGTAAAAGCCACTCAGTTCATCATCCGCACAAAAGCAGGAGGCTGCAGGCTGGCTGACCTGGGAGCTGGCAGTAGGACCCCCACGGCCTCGGCTTGGCCCCAGCGCAGGCTGGCCAGCCCCGTGGCTGCACCGGGGCCCAGACCCACATGCACCCACCTGAGGGGCGGACGCCTCCTGCCCGCTGTGGGGCCACCTCACTTGGGGTGGCCAGGACGCCTGCTGTCTAGTCACACCTCATGGTCAAGAAGTTCCTTAGGCAGAAGTGGCACCAAAGAACCTCTCTTTTCCCCCGGTTGCCGTGGAGACACCACCGGTGTGCTCAGCTGGCCTGTGTTTTGTTTCCAGAAACAGTCCCTGAAGCAGGAGGAGAGCCGGCCCCGCAGACAGGGCCCGGCCTACCTGATGGAGCTGCCGCAGCTGAAGCTCCCCGGGGCCACCAAGCTCTCGTACTCCAGCCCGGCGCTGCAGACGGTGTTCAGGCCCGGCGGGAGCGGGAAGGTCCCGATGCTGAGACCCCTGAAGTGTGGGGCCGCAAACCAGAAGGTAGCGCCTCGTTAGCTCCCCCCAGCGCTGCTCCCGCCGCCGCCGCCGTCCCGGCCTCCACTGACCGCCTGTCGTCTCCTTTGCAGGCAGATGCACAGAAGGACATCAAGCCTAACCTGAAGCAGTACCACCTGCCCACGATCGAACGGAAAGGCGGGGGGTACTGAGCAGCGCGTCCAGCTCACCCTGGAGCATCAGCGCGGGCTCGGTCCTCCGGGCCCGGGTCCCGGGCCCTGGCGATCACAGTGCACACGCCAGCGGCGTGACGGCCCCAGGCCTGGGGCCGCCGCCCGCGCTCCAGCCGAAGGCAGCCGGACTGTATGTTCGCTCTAATACACGTGTAAAACCACCTCCCTCGAGGGTGCCATTTCACTTTTGTAACCGAAGACTTTGAGACGGGAAATCTTTTGTATTTTTATATGAATGCACACAGAAGTTAGAGTTTATATTTGTTGTTTAGGCTTGGCTGCCCCGCGGGCTCTGCGTGGGCTTCAGCACATCGCCAAGAGCACTGAAGCACGTGGCTGCGTGAGGATAGGCCGACTTTCATTAAAGAATAGCCCTCGTCACGGCAGTTCCTTGTGGTACCGTTTGCGCTGACCATGTCACCACCCCGTCCTTTGTTTTGGCTTTTGAGAACAGATGGAGGATTGATCTTGGGTGCGGCTTGGTTTTGTTTCGCTGGAGAAGCCCTGAGAGGAAGCCCAGGGAGCTGTGGCCGGTGCCACCCAGGGAGCCGCAGCTGGCACAGTGGTGCTGGGCACGCGGGCAGAGCTCCTGAGGTCCAGCTGGCTCCCGTGAGAAGAGAACGCCGCTTCCTGCTGGGCTGGGGGCGCTGCTGACAACTAGTGGGCACAGCAGAGCTGGTGCTGCAGAGACGCGTGGGGCCGAGAGCAGGGTGTGGGCCCGGCCGCCGGCAGAGCAAAGACCCTGTGGAGCCCCCTTTTGGTCATTGTAACCTAGTCACTGAGTGTTCCTTCTTCTCTTCTCCAACTCACGTTTAAAGCACATTTCTTGAACTGGTTTTCCATCTTCCTGTTCTCCTGTAAGACAGATCTGACACCGCTCTGAGCTCTCCTGTGGCCACCGCCTCCCGTCCACCTCACAGCTGGGGCAGCAGAACCAGTGACCGCACACCTGGGCTGTGGAGGGTGGACGGGGCAGGTGGAATCAGCATTTCACAGGCTCAGGCAGAGGACGGGCATGAGCGTGGACACAGGTGGGGCCGCGTGGGGCAGAGATGCCCAGGAGGGCCGGTTCAAGGCTTCACAGGGACATTCAGAGCTGGGTGACATTCACTCAGGAAGGTTTGGAAAGAGCTGCTTTTTAGACCCACTGGAGTCCGCAGCGGGCTTCAAGGTGGAGTTCTGGGTCATGTGGAAGCAGAGACAGGGTCACGGACAGGCAGGAGGCCAGAAACGAGGTGCTGGGCCCAAGGAGGCGAGGCCAGGGAGATGCCTCTGGCGTGAGCAGGTGCTAGGGCCCGAAGAGGGAGGGGCCTGCAAGGTGGGCGGGCCCACACTGAGTCCGTGGGGTGGGGCCACCAGACAGCCCCAAAGAGTCTCTGGGCGCACATTTAAGGACTAACAGGTGTTTGGGTTCAGGAACACTGTTACCCCCTGTAAGTACATCCAATCTGAAAGGTTTTCTGCGCACCTGAGAGAGCAAACTCTGGATGCTGCTTCTCAGGAAACCCTCAGCCCCGCCTCTGCAATAGTGGCTGCCCTCGGCTGGGGGCTCTCCGAGCAGGCCAGGCCCTAGTCACAGGGGTCCTCAAACTTTTTAAAGTGGGGGCCAGATCACAGTCCCTCAGAGAGCTGGAGGGCCGGACTATATGAACTACTAATTCCTACTGTAACACCTCGGCTGCGCTCACTGCCCAAAAAAACTGGCGGGCCGGATCAGACTCCTCTGCGGGCCGCATGTGGCCCGCGGGCCGTAGTTTGAAGACGCCTGCTAGAAGGACGAGAGCTGCCCACCAAATAAGGCCCTTTTGTTGCGTTTGGCCTCTGGAACAAACAAGCTCTGAAGCCCCCCCCCCCCCCCCGGCTCCCAGGGGCACGTCCCCACAAGCCCGCCTCCACGGAGGGCAGTGTGGTTCCCTGGCCCACGGCAGGGCTCGAACATCCGTGCACAAAGCAAGTCCAGGCTCCCGCAGACCGGAGAGCAGGTTTCCTGCGTGTCCAGGAGCTCACATCCTCCTGCTCTTGGCTGGGCAGCCAGTCTCCGGGCAGCTGAAGTGGCCCTGGCGCTGTGCCTGTCTGCGGGCCCGCATGGGCAGGTGCCAGCCAGGGCTTAGGGCACAGGAGGCCTCCTCGGCTGCCGCCAGACCCTGGCAAGGTCTGCCCTCCAAACTCGAAAGCTTGTGGCCATTGACGCCTTTCTGGGCAATGCTGTTCAATGGCTCCCAGCGCAGAACTCTAGAAGGGAGAGATCTCACACGTCTGCGGCCACCATCCTGTCCAACTCGCTCACTCCACAGTCTGCTGAGTGCCTGCCGAGTGCCGGGGCCTCCTGAGCTCCGTTGGAGGGGCAGCTGGGGCTGAAGCAGACAGCCCGACTGCTACTGACTGCAAAAGGAGACAAGTACCAGTTGTAACAGTTTGGTTATTTATACTGAGTGTATATATTTCACATATATATGAGATTTTAATTACATTGAATCTCAAAGTAAAAAGCAGGAAAATTTCATTCACTATTGTTTGGGTTAATCTTCACCTGAGGAACATTTTACCCATTGATCTTTAGAGAGTGGAAGGGATTGGGGTGTTGGCGGGGTTCAGGGGGGACATATACTGTGGGAGGTGGAGAGAGAAACATCCACGTGAGAGATATCGCTTTGTGCCCCGACCTGGGCTGGGGATCAAACCTGTGACCCAGGTATGTGCTCTTGACCGGGAATCAAACCTGTGACCCTTGGGTGCTGGGGCCAACGCTCTAACCACTGGGATACACTGGCCAGGGCTCATTTCTCATTTCTCACTGCAGCCCCCAAAGAACGATTTAAAATAGAAACAACCTCCTCAGATGAGCAGCGAGCACCCTGCCTGCCGGGAGCCCTGCTCTGAGTGACCCCTCCCCTCATGATTCGGGCGACACGCGCCTCCCACGTGTGGCTGAAGTGCAGCTCGCAGTGCCTGCATCGTCACACTCCCTCGAGACCTGGTCCGGGTGAGAGTTTCTGAGCAGTAGTGGGTCGCTACATGACAGTGTCACCTGGGGACGTGGCCTGGTTTGGGGATGGCGACAAACGCTGCAAACAAAGCAGGGTACGTTAACCCAGCGCACAGGGCCTCGGAGGGTCCCAGCCACTCACCTCGCAGTCGGACGCCATCGGAACAGACTCCTGCCAGTTAGGAGCCCGTGGTGACAGGTCCTCCACGTTCACCTACTGAATTCTGTCCAGATCCTTCCTGGCATTGCTGCCTGGTTGGAACCAGAACCCATGGAACCCGGCTCTGCCTGGATTTGGGGCCAGTGGCTGAGGGACAACGTGGACTCTCAGGGCCTGATTCCTTGGGCATCATTGGCCTTAAGGTGAGGGCACCTGCCAGGGGGACCTCCCCACCTTCCTCAGGGGCCCCAGCTCAGAGACCCAGAGTACTGCACGCCCAGCCCCTCAGAGGCCCCTCCATTGAGAGAGTTTAGTAGCACTTATTTTTATGTATGTATGAATTTTTAAATGTTTTTTTTTAAACATATTTTATTGATTTTGTACAGAGAGGAAGGGAGAGAGATAGAGTTAGAAACATCGATGAGAGTCATCGATCAGCTGCCTCTTGCACATCCCCTACTGGGGATGTGCCCGCAACCAAGGTACATGACCTTGACCGGAATCGAACCCGGGACCTTTCAGTCCCCGACGCTCTATCCATTGAGCCAAACTGGTTTCGGCTGAATTTTTAAATGTTTTTGTTGATTTTTAGAGAGAGAGAGGAGAGGAGAGGTGAGGATCAGTGATTGGATGCTTCCTGCAAGCCCCCTGCTGGGGATTGAGCCCACAGCCTGGGTATGTGCCTGAACTGGGAATCAAACCATGACCTCTTGATTCATGGGACTATGCTCAACCACTGAACCACACCGGCCAGGCTCATTCAAAATCTTTGTAACTTCTGAGAATTAGCTGTGTGGCCACCTACGGCTTTGAAACCTCTCTGCTCAGCGGGCAGGAAGGATGAACCCCTCCTGACTCTCCAAGTCTTTCTAGCTCGAGGCCCTTCCAGAGTCCCAGGCTGGCCTCCACCCGAAACCACTGAGAGGCCAGTTTCGAGAGACGCACGGGACCAGAGCCAGCTGTTTCTTTCCGCAGGCAGCCACACCTGGAAGAATGGACTTAATATTTCTTCTAGTTATAAAAATAGTACAAACTATTTTTAAGGATAGAAAGTGTGTGTCCTTCTGGATTTGCTGCAGACCTAGCCGTGTGAAGGGCTCAGAACCGACTCCGTGCCGAGGAACAGTACCTGCTCCTGTGGTAGGGGGTCCGAGCAGGGCACTCCGAGGGTGCGATGTCTGGCTGCGCCTGGCAGCTCGGAGTTGAAGGCGGGAGCAGAAGGCTCGGAGGACGGTGGCAGGAAGCCTCTGGAGTCGCTGAGCGGTGGCTGCCCACCTGGAGGGAGGCAGACAGCAGGCAGCTCCCTGCCAGCAGCCTTGCCAGCTGTGCCCCAGGCCCGGGCATCTCCAGACACAGCAGGGACCTGACAGGACGAGGCGGGCACCAGGCCCTGCCCAGGAGCCATCTCACCTTTACCTCCCCTGCCCTCTGGGGACCAGCAGCCCAGGCCTGGGCCTCCTGCCTTGAAGCGCTCAGGGAGAGGGGTGCCAGGGTGCTGCTCAGATCACCTGACTGGAGGGACATTTCACAGCAGGACACCACAAACGGCCCCCCTTCCTCCTACAGGGATGTCTCTCCCCCGCCCCACCCCACCCCATCCTGTCTATGAAGCTCTTCCTATGCTGCAGCCTCAGGCAGGACGACCCCAGCGTTTGGTTCCCAAGCCTTGAGTGAACTGCACTCTCCCAGGAAGAGCGCCCCTGCCCCCAGCACCCAGACTCCCCCTCTCCCTGCTGACAGAGGGGAGAGGGGGTGCTGAATAGAGCTAGGGGCTGACCTCTGTGACCTCTGTGCTCAGCACAGCGATGGCGCCCAGGACAACCTGCCTCCTGAAGCAGGCCTCTCCACAGCTGGCTGAGGCCAGTCCTTCCCCACGACGGACACCCACAACCTCTGATACTCGGAACAAAGGTTCCCTTCTATTTGGTCTAGTAATAATTAATGTCGTTTTCAAACATTCGTTTAAAATCTTGCTTGGCGTTGACTTGTATTGACATAACCTTCAAACACGTGGTATCTACAGAACGTGTGAAGTGCAATTAACAAGTTTTGCTTGAAAAAGTTTGTGTTTGGTTTGGTTTTTGTTGCAAAACTAGGGTTAAGAAGATGGCGGATGAAGGGCATATTCGGCACTGCATGCTTTACGAGTTCCAATTAGGAAGAAAAGCAAGTGAGGCTGCAAAAAACATCTGTAGTGCTCTTGGTCAAGATGCAGTTAGCGCCAGAAAATGCCAGC